GTCAGAAGCGCTGATTGACAGACAAAATGAATGACAGACAAAAGACAAAAGGCCACAAAGATCAAATGTAAACGCGAAGAATCTCTAACAAAACAGTCAATATTTGTGGAATATAGTCTTCTCAAGAAGAAGCATTTGAGTTTTTCGCTGGAGCACTTTGGCAGATGAACACAACACTTTACTAAAACTGATCGACCAGAAGACACGTAAAATTAGACAAATTTATATTTGAAACCCCATGACTACCGGATTTATTATGTAAACGCTGATTTGCGTCATCAGTATGGAATTTATGTCGCTGAGTCGCAGACGTTCCTCCGCGCGAAACGTCCCCAGCGGCGAAGAGCGAGGAGAAACGGATGCTTCCGCAGGCTAGAATAAACTGTGCAAGATCGGAGATACAGGCGAGTCTGTGCAAACAAAATAAGACAGGTTTTTGTTTAGTTACAGGGCTACACCTACCGCATTAGGAAAGTCACCCCCGAATTACTTATGAACAGACAGCCTAGAATTAGGCCAAAAGCCAAAAGTTCAAAACAGGAAGTTAAGGTTTTTCAAGAAAACTTTGATAACCACCCCAGTTTGCACTAAACCAAGCAGTTATTGTGCGTAATTTTGGAAAAGGAGCAAAATGGATCCTAGGAACCACTGTTGCAACAGTCAGTCCCCGGAATTTTGAGGTTCAGGTCGGAGACATTATCTGGAAGCGACATCAAGAACAATTAAGTTCACGGTTCATACCTCCCACACATAGCTAAAGGTCAGAGTAATTATAGTTAGCTCGTGAACCCCAGCTACCTGAGCAAACTGAAGGGCTGACCCAGAAAATAAAATGGGGTAAAGGCCTGTTACAACACCAACCCTTTCACAGCCTAAAGAGGCTACTTCCCTACTTGACACTCCAGCCATGGACAGCATAGCTGATGCATCTTTTACATTGCAGGACTCATCTGTGCGAGATTCAGGGCCTCAAGCATCAACACCTGAGCAACCAGAGCGTAGATACCTTCTCAGAGAGCGTAAACCGCCTCAGAGGTTCTACTAGTCTTTAGAAAAATTAAGTGGAAACTGTTTACGTGACAGAACTTGTTCCTATTAGTACAATACATTCTATTTTTACCAGGTTCAGTTTTTCTTTTCGTTTGCTTCAAGAGGGGGCATCTGTCATATCCCATGAATCTTCATGCGTTTTAGTAATAAACCGATAGAAAGCAATGACACTCTGTCGCCAATTTATTGTCTCAGCCTGTTTGGGCCTTTGGTTTGGCCCATGGGCATCCACTAGTCTCCTGGGTTTTACTGTTTAAGAATGCCGAGAGGCTAGTTTTATGAGAATTGCTTGCTTCATGTGACAGGACATTCTCTATGCGCATCGACTAACAGCCTGAGACAGATTTGTTTCTGCTTGTCTCATCAAGCTCTTTGCAGTAAGAACAGAACATCTTTCCATCCTCAGCTGACAACCACGGGCACCCGTCTTTCGATTTCTCGTTGAACTTGAAGTACTAGTACATTATTACGTTTCGTCATCAGTGTTTGGAAATTCCTTTCTACTTGTACTTCTTCAACTTTCGCTTCTTTGGAACATTGTTTAGATTAATTCCAGTTATAAAGCTATGAAGGGTGCAAGGCTTGAATTGGACTTTTGCTATTTGTAGTAAATTTAAATTCAAGAAGTGACTGACGCACTATCGACAACCGACTCAGTTATCAATTTTTAAAATAATGTATGAACCCAAGTTTCGAGCGAATGCTTTAACATTTCAGCCATTACAAATTATACTAAAAGAAAGAATTTTAGTGCCCTACTTAAAATTGATTGGAAGCAAACCTCACATTTGCTAGTCGCTCAGTGATGTCTCTATAAGGTCCTGTATCCTGTAACTGCTTGACCTGCGATTTGCAGATCCCTTTTGCTTAACGCCGCTTGAAGTTATCCCAGGCAATAACGATCCAAAGACGTTTTGTTTCGGGGTGAAAACATAATCTACGTACGTTTCCAGACAGTCCGCAGATGTGACATGTATATTGTATCTTTAGAGCGTAATATTAATCAGCGTACTTGAACCTTTTATGGGGCGCTCGCAGCTACTGTAGCGACCGGTAGGAGTGTCAACTACACAATAGTTTGGCCTCACCACGTATCCGCAGCCCTCTTTCCCAACGTAGTCATGCGTGTTAGAATTGTGGTATCCCAGGGATAATGAATACGGGAAATCCATTTTATATAAACAGATGTATGAAGGGAAGATAACGATTTGGCAAAAATGTTTGAGCGCTGATTTTCATGCAACAAAAAGGAGGTGAAGTGAAATCTTAGCTTGAAATCTTAGGGTGTTTACATGACACTGGGGGCGACTTTCGCGCCGGCGCGAGTTCACTCCGATCCGGTTCCCTCTCACATGGCTTTACATTTGTTTACATGATACCCTTGTGTGTAAAGTGTAAAGTTTGCTTATCATTTTCGCATAAATTATGACCTAAATTTGGAATTTCTCGAATTGGGTCTTTGCGATTTTGGTGAAACTCTGTTCAGCGCAAGGCACTAATGCGCACTATGTGTAGCCGACAGATTTTCACGAAAAAATGCCGGCAACAGCAGATTTTCGATTCAGACCTCAAAGGGGCGTGGCATTATAACCACGTGACATTTACTCTGATCGCCAAAAATTTTATGTTATATTGTACATTAATCGATATGTTATCCATTCTATGTGTTAGACTTACGATAAAAGTAAAGGTGGGAATACCAGAGAGCTTTAAAGTAGGATGTTACCCCTCCCCCCCGCCAAAAAAAAAAACTGGGTCAAGTCACCTTAATAAAAGTAACTTAACATTTTACATGTAAATGGTTCACGATATTAATGTAGAGAGCTCCATGTGATAACCAAATGAGCCAGAGCTGCGCAGAGAGTGTCAGGTGAATATCATAGTCACACTGTAAAGTACATGTATCAGGGCGCATATCAGCGAGCGAGATATCCCTGATAATACCTGAGAATTTTCAGGAACTGCATTTTGAATGACCTTGCCAAATTGAAACTCACATTATTCTCGAGAATTCTTGGAAATTCCCTAGAAAACCGAGAACGCGTGAAATTCTTAGACGAGCCGTTGAAAATTCTCGGCAATTTCCGAGAATGTTATGAAGTCGCAAGCTTTCTCAAGAATTCTCAAGAAATCCTGGGAGTTATTGAGATTTACTCTACTCCCGAGAATTCTTGGGAAACATTCCGCACGGAAAGGTTCAGAAAATAGTAATGGGAATAATTTGTGATCTCATCAAGTAAAGACATGAAATTAAAATGATTGCTATTGACACAAGCAGTTGCAAAACAGCTGAACTTATATTCCCCTTCCTTTTTTTGTGATCAAGCCAACATTTTTCATTGTTCGATCTGCCTTTCGCTTCAGATCTGCACGCTGTTACCCCTAGTAATTGGGCGGTTTGGTCTATAAGTCTTTTAGCTTCAAATCAGTGTATATAGGGTAACGTTTAGAATGTATATGTTATGGAAACTATAATAAATTCCCTCAGACTGTTATTGTAGAATTTATATTTTTTTTTCACTTATAGTAAAATAACACATATTTAATTACTTTGCATCATTTTATCCACAAGCTTTACCATTATTCCTGAAAAAATTGAGAAAACATGCATTTTCACTCAAAAATGGCTTGACCACCTACTACTTATTACGCCGTCATATCTCATAACCATAGTAACTGGCCATCACTAAACTTGTCTGAAAATGCACGGGAAGGATAAACGAACACCTGCAGAAAACTTCAGGTTCTGATGTTTTATCGTGTAGGAAAAAAAAATCAGAAAAACCCTAACTTAATCAGAATAAAAATCGTTTCCAAATGATTTTTAAGTGACTACAAACCATTTTTCAGTTAATTTAAGGTAATTACATTTTCCGTTTGCTTTCACCCTAGATTAACAAACAAATTTTAACAGTCAACCTTGTCCCTCAATTGTCAATGTCCCCCTCTTTAATGAAGGAACATTCAGCGTTCTTTTTTTCTCGATCAGAATGATGTAATGGCTCAATAGATGGTTGCCACCCTCAGGTGCACGTCTGTGATGTTGAGGCGTTTTTCTTGTCAAATAAATCGGCAACACTTTTAACTGAATTAATAAGACTTTAGCAATGGTTGAAATTCTTGCAGCATAATGATGCTTTATTTTATTGTTTCAAATTATTTCAGTTAAAGTAAATTTTCCAGTTATAATTATTTACTTTCATCGCACTTGCCCACATAAATACACAGGATTAGCAAATACGTACATTCAAATGACGACAAATATTTTTATTAATTTCCTCTGCATTATTTGGGAATATTTTAGTTTATATGAAATAAAGCTAAAACAGAGGGCTGAATTAGAACTGTTTCAGGTTACGAAATCCCTTATTATTGACCAAAATTACAGCAATTGCTTAGTTTTCATGACTTATGTTCTGACGACGACTTGTCTGAGATTTTAAGAACCATGTTAATTGCTTGGAAACGGCGTTCCTTTTTAATCATCTCAGCAAAAATAACAAAAAATTTCCCATTTAAAAGTTAATTAAACTTTTTGTTTGCCCTTTAACTCCGCAAATTAAATCCCCTGCTACTATCAAGTATTCTATAAATCACCCGCTTTGTATTGGGTTAATCACTTGGACTTTTCACCAGGTAATAACAAGAGTCTACTCCATGGCCCTCAAGATGATATTGGCCTTGGTGGGTACAGAGTAACTGATCCTGTAGTTTATAACCCTCTCTTCTTCTCTCCTGCTGATTTTCAATGAATTCCAATTATCTGAACATTTTTAGTCAGCATTCTTGACGCAGATTTCCTTCTAAGTCTATACAATTGATATATATATATTTTTTATCTGTGTCCGGTACATGAAGTTTGACCAAATTTTCTTACTATTTGCCCCTTTGGCCGCCAAAAAAGGAAAAGGGTCTTTCCTTCTTTCTTTGTAACTAAACTATCAGAACGTCATGTTGTTGCACTGCAGATTCTGTGCAGTTTCCTTGCCAGCCTTCCACCAGCTGAGGGTATAAGCTGTTATTCATGCCTAGAGTATCCAGGCTCGAGCCAAACATGCAGCAACCCTTCCATAATTCAATGCGGACCCTATTACGACTCTTGTGTAGCTATGAACGTTACATCCAACATAATGGGGATTCATTCTTCAGCAGCCTTGAAAAACTGCTCGATATCTAACCATCAGTGCAACGCAAGCTATGTCTGTGGCCTAGTGAACAGCTCCATATCTCAATCAAATGGAACCCTACTCTCATGCTCATTGAACTGTTGCTATGGAGATCTTTGCAATGGGCAAGGTGGAGGAGGTATCCTATCTCTCTCTCTTTTTTTATCATTTTTCGTAATGTCGTGGTATAATATATAGATTTAGCCACAGCTAAAAGCGAAGCTCCCATTGATAAATTTATAACTTAAATCAAACAGTAATTTTGTATTCCACAAATCAGTTAACTTAAGGGCACATTCATGTGACTTTTGAGGGAAAAGCTAAGTGATTTTGGAGTGAAACAAACCTTGCATCGAGTTGATATAGCCTTATATGTACAGCCAAAAAAACAATTTTTCGGTCACATTCATGAGCAATAATGGCTCTTGATCACAGTAGATAAGGCGTGGAAAACAAATTCTTGGAAAACAAATCAGGCCGAATTTTTTTGCGTTCGACAAGTTTACAAATTCTTGCCAATAAATCTGGGTGCGTGAAAACCATTCTTTTAATTATTTATTTATTTTTATACACCACATCTGAGAGAAAGAGTACTATTAAGCGCTTTTTTTATCATACAGTCCTCGTACAAAATGCAGTATTTCACAATTTTTCAAGACAAATTGCATGCATTCAATACTCAGGACCATCGAAGCACGCGTGGACTTTTAATCAGCGAAGCCGTTCAAAAAATGTCCAAAATCAAATATACGGCCAGCCGGTTCTAACTTTTGACAAGCGCCAAATTTGCGAAGAAATTTTAGAAGAGTTACGCTTCAACGTGATAAAGAATTTATTGAGTCTTTTTTTTCTTAATGGTTTTATAACGATGTGTAATTTTAAAAAGCGTTTGATACGCTCGGCATTTTGAGTACTCCTGCAAGCGATGTTTATGAACGCCTGAAAACAAACGGCAAAGCGATGAAAATTACACTTTTGAGACTACCAACAATCAATAACGAAATATAATTCGGTAGAACATTTACAGAGACAACAATTTTCATTCACGAAAGCAAATGAGTATTTAAGTGTCTCTAAGAATCCTCAAGTCTTTACTAGTAAGCTTAAAGATTAAGTTTATGTTTTAAGCCGCCGGTTTCCCGGTGTTTGCTTTTTTTAAAGATGAACTCAAGACAAGAAAATCGCTCAAAGCTTTCTTTCTACAGCCAAAATTATAACTAAATATTATTCGGAAAGTTTTTTCTTTCTATTTACGGTGAATTAATATCGACTAAAGGCTTTTTAAAGTTTTGTAAGCTTAAGCATATGTCAAACCTCATACTAGGTCAGATCAGTGTCTCAGTCAAATCTTAATACAAACGTGTATAAACTAGCTTCATAATCTGCGCCGCTGGACTTCATGAAATTAGATAATATATAGATTTAGCTAGGGCTAAAAGCGAAGCTCCCATTAATAAATTTATAATTTAAATCAAACAATAAAATTGTAATCCACAAATCAGTTAACTTAAGGGCACATGTGACTTTTTAGGGAAAGCTAAGGCTGAGTGATTTTAGAGTGAAAAAAAATCTTACATCGAATTGATAGCCGTATATATACACCCAAAAAATAGCAATCATCTTCGATCACGTTTAAGAGCCATAATGGCTCTTGATCACAGTAGATTAGGCCTGGAAAACGAATTCTTGGAAAAGAAATCAGGCCGATTTTTTTGCGTTCGACAAGTTTACTTAACAAAATCTTGCCAACAACTCTGGGTGCGTGTAAACCAACATTTCATACTTTTTATACATCACATCTGATGTGAAACAGTAATATGAGGCGCTCTTTTTATCATACAGACCTCAGACAAAATGCAGTATTTCACAATTTTTCAAGACAAATTGCACTCATTCAATATTCAGAACCGCACGAAGTACGCGTGGGCTTTTAGCAAAACCGTTCAAAAAATTTACAAAATCACCTATACGGCCAGCCGGTTCTCACTTTTGACAAGCGCCAAATTTTCAATGAACATTAAAAGAGTTACGCTTCAACATAATAAAGAATTTATCGTGTTTATTTTTTTTTATTTAATGGTTTTATAACCGGCGGTGTGTAATCTTAAAAAGCGTTTGATACGCGCGGCATTTTGAGTACTCCTGCAAGCGATGTTTATGAACGACTGAAAACAAACGGCAAAGCGATTAAAATTGCAAGAGACTCCTAACAATCAATAAAAGAAATGTAATTCGGTGAAACACTTACAGAGACAACAATTTTCATTCACGAAGACTAGTATTAAAGCGTCTCTAAAAATCCTGAGTCTTCAAGCTTAAGCTTATAAAGCTTTTAGCCGGCTTCCTGGTGTTTATTGTTTTCAAAGATGAACTGGAGGCAAGAAAATTGCTCAAAGTTTTCTTTCTACAGCCAAAATTATAACTAATTACTCGTCGGATCGTTTTTTCTTTCTATTTGCGGAGAGAAAATATCGACTAAAGGCTTTTTAAAGGTCTGTAAGCTTATATCAAACCTCATACTAGATTAGATCAAAATTATAACTAATTACTCTTCGGATCGTTTTTTCTTTCTATTTGCGGAGAGAAAATATCGACTAAAGGCTTTTTAAAGGTCTGTAAGCTTATATCAAACCTCATACTAGATTAGATCATTGTCTCAGATCTTAATACAAACGTGCATAAACTAGCCTCATAAACTGCGCTCGACTTCATGAAATTAGATGTTAAACAACAGACACATACACCGAATACAATAATACTGAGGCTTACCATTCGAGATGCAGCTCCTGAAAGCTATCAAGTAAGGCCAGAATCGCTTGAGGGACTTTTCAACCCGCATCCAGCAAAACGAAAACGATGTCATCCGAAATCGGATTTCCAACTTTGACAAGCGGCACATTTCTCAACCAAAAATTCAATAAACAAACCAGCCATGAATAACAGAAGACTGTTGATAGCAGCTGTATTTCATTTTGCGCATCCAGTGAAAAAAGACAGTAAAAAAATATCACAAGATGACAAAAAACTCTGTCAGCTTCAGCTGTCAAAGTGAACAAGTTTCAAGATGCTGTATAAATTTTCTGCATGAACACACCTGTCAAATTTTGACCAATCAGAGCATAAAAATTGGACGGTCTTAGAGCGTGATGAACGCGTGACTATGGTGAGAAAAGTGAAAAGCTTCTGTCTCCCTTGCTTGTATTTTTAAATGACTGGCTGAATTTTCGCGTCCGAGATCAGTTTGAATTCAAAATGTTAATAGTGCGGGGCCATAGTGACATTAACACAACACTTTCTGTCATCATATCATTATTTTGCTGCCGTTCTCTTTGCCTTTGTATTTCTCTTTCGCGTTGCCTTTGTCTATTCATTCTAGCTCTCTAGTTGTGCTTGCCGGCGTTTTTCACTATAGTTTTCTCTCGTTCTTCTCACCCTGACTCTTTCTACTTGCCGACCTTCTTCGCTAAAATTTTTTCTTCTTCTTCTACTTCTAACGCCCTCTCTTTGGCGATCGTCTTCGCTTGCTCTACGCGTGTTGACTCTTGCTCTCTGCCGTTCATCTTCTCTTTGCTCTTTGGTTAAAACCTGTCGTCTACACGCTAAAATCTCTCTGCTGTTGTTTATTTCGTAAGTTGTAATAGAAAGTTATAAACGCTTTGTCAAAAAATCTTTTTCCTAAGTTGCTTTGAAATTTATTTTTTCAAAACCAGTTGAGCGAAATAATTGCGCGACGTTGCGCCACGCGATTTCCCGCCAAAAAATCTCTACTTTCCCCTACCCCAAGGGTCCATGCGGACTACTTTCCACTACCCGGAAAGTCCATACGGACGGACGTACGCTGACGTCATAACCAAACTTTCTCGGATGGATAGTTTACCAAATTATCTTAGTTATGGTGCTCCGCTCGCGCGCGTTTTGCGCGCGCAAGCAGCTCCGCTATAAATACAATAATTAATCAGGCTTACCATATTTCGAGATTCAGCTGCTGAAAGCTATCAAGTAAGGCAAGGATCGCTTGAACCTTTATAATTCTCGTACGCATCAAGCAAGGTGAAAAACAAAAACGATGCCATCCGAAATCGGATTATCGGCTTTGACAAGCGACGCATTTCTCAACCAAAAACCCAATAAACAAACCAGCCACGAATAAGAGAACACGCTTGATAGCAGCTGTATTTGGTGGAAAATAACAGTTAAACACATCACATCACAAGTTGACTCAAAACTCTGTCAGCTTCAGCTGTCAAAGTAAACAACTTTCAAGATGCTGCATAAATTTTACGCATGAACTCACATGTCAAATTTTAACCAATCAGAGCATAAAAATTGGACGTGGAGCGTGACCAACACGTGACCATGGTGGGCAGCGGATACCCTGTTTTGACAGCTGTCAATTGATGACAACATTGATGTGCAATGAGCTTTTCTGGGTTCCCAAAGTAGCTAGAAAGTGTGAGAGTAAACATTGGTATACCTGTGGTGCGGACGGACGGGCAGCGGGCGGGCCGACGGGCGGGCGGGTGGTGTACGGTCACGTGATTACCAAATTTTCTGGGATGGGTAGATTTACTGTACTTACCCATGGTGCTCGCAGGCGTGCTTCACGCGCCAGAGCTCCGCTAATAGCGGCATACAATGAAAAAAAAAGTAATGAAAGATATTTAAGAAATGGTAAACGTGCAGCGTGCAACCATGGAGTTATGGATGCACGCGGGAGGTTGCTAAGCACGAAAGAAGCGTAAGAGTCGTACGAGGCGATAGCCGAGTGCGACTCTAGCTTCTTGAGTACTTAGCAAACCTCCCAAGTGCATCCATAACTCCATGGTTGCACAGCTGCAACGTTTACCATTTCTTTTATAACATAATCAAAAGAGAAAAACATTATCTTCCATTTGCCTTCGGTTGAGTCATCGGTACGAGTTCATGTATGCTACCATCTTCCCGCGCGTAAACAAATCATGTTCTATGTTTTTCAAAAACTTGCCTTTGAGTTTTTGTTTCGCTGAATCAATCGTTCTCCGTCGTCAGGTAAATTGCAAAACGTTTTTCGTTGTTATTCTAAATGGCATCTGTCTACTCGCTCTTAATATTAGGGTAAAAATTTTCAGGGAAAACTATAGATGCAACTATAAACACCAACTAAAAAGACTCTAAAAAATAAGCTAAAACTAAATAAATGAAATAATTATCGAGCTTATTTATGCGACAATTTTTGAAATAAACGTAAAGGAGAAATAGGAAAATTTGACTGTAATTCCTTTAGAATAACAGGTAACACTAATTTTAAAAAGAAATTAACTAGCTTTGTATCAAGATCTGTCTGGGGAAATCCAGCTATGAAAGTCAAAGTTGAAACTGAAATTCGCCGACACACACCCGGCGCTGAAGCTGTTGTTTTTCGACCGTTCTCTGAACGACTGTTATGAATGAACACTGAGGAACAAAATAATACACACAGAAGTTATTTTTTGAAACATTTATTTGAAAACCCAAATGTTTCTGTACTCAAATGAAATTCGCTTATTCCAGCGTAATGTGCCCGTTTAAACTCAACTAAAATTTTTCATCGATGCGATAAAAACTTCACAACAAAGCTGTCTCGAATTTGAGCTTGTTTCTTAAAATATTTGCTATTACATAATATTTAGCATCAGCTTGGCCAAAAAGTCAATAACACAATGCTAATTGCTAAATTTACATTTCAAACAGACTTTCTCTTCCATAAAAAAAACACACAAAATGAACCTTAAATCTTAACTCGCTCGATTTTATATTCAGCCGATTCTAGGCCCGAGGAAAACAGTGATTAATTCATCCAGGGCAAATTTGTCGCTTGATCTTTTGTCTTTTTTCCTTCAAAACGACAGCTTAGTATGTTCTCCGACTTCCACTTCTCATCTGTGCATTTTATCGGTGTATTTTACCGTCAGGAGAGGAGATTTGTTGAATTTACCTAAATTTTACCGCGCTAGCTCAGTTACTTGGGGTGCACCCACGGTCAAATGGTACTGGCTAACTGACCAATCAGAGAGCGCGATTTACTTTTGTTATGTTATAAATATAATTGCCTAGCATTCGGGCCGTGATCTCTTCACTACTTTAATTTGATACACTTTCATTGTTGCCTTTACGCGTCGGCAGGGTAAGGGTACTTTCTCATATGTCAGAGCCGAGAAAACTTGGTTTTACGATATTGAGGTCAGAAATTTAGGTTCCGGGCTTTGGCTAGTAAAATAGGTACGTAATATAGTCTTATCACTACTCACAATCTCATCATTTAAAATGTCCTCAATATAGAGGCCTTTCAAGGGGGTATAAGCGACAGGCGTAGTATATCCCGAATACATCCCTGAGGAAGTTACCAACAACTACAAAATCAAAATAACTTTACTTAAGGGTTTTACAAGCATATGACAGTTAATTTTATTTATTTACCAGGGATATCTTTATTTACTTATTTATTCATTTATTTGTGTATTTTCAGTCATATAGCCGATGTAAACCATTACTTGATTCGCACAACTTTATCAAAACAACAGTTGTGGAAGTTAACATTGTATTTTAAGGCTTTTGCATCCATTTCTCTAAATATACAAGTAAATGAAATTTACTCTAAATCTGATTAAATATCAGGGGAAATTTCTTATAACTTGCATTTTGTACTTGTCGTGCTTTATAGGAAACGTAACCTTGCCTCCATGGACAAACCCACCGCCGACAACTTATCATCCACCGTTCACCACTCAGAGCCCTTCAGGTGAAAGATATTTTAATTTATTATAATTATAAGTATAGACTACGAGTAGTCCCCCATTTTTCCTCAGGGATAGTAGAGCGAGCGAAACTCGAGCGCGCGTGAAAATCACCCCACACGAGAAAATACGACACGCGGCGGAGAGAGAGAAAAATGAGGGACTACAGGCGAAGCCCAAGCTTTTGACCCTTCGCGGCCGACTGATTTCGTATCCCCTTCAAAATTAATTAAGCGCATCCAATGGGATTCCTTCCCTCACTGAGCTATCATTGCTCTTGTCATCGGTAAACTGCGGGGATATTTATTGCAAGCAAAAGAAAACGGCTGTTTCGTGTGAAGAACTTGAGAGGGTAGGCAACACACGACTCTTACTGATGCCAAACTGCTGCTTGTTCCTATGAATTTTTTTTCTGACGGGTAGATTATGCTCTGGAGAAAAACTTTTTGACTGAGCAAATGTGATTTTTGCCGCTTATTTCATACTGAGAGGTCGTGACACGCATATTAATTTTCTGCGGTTATTGTTTATGGCATGATTTGCCCTCCCATGCAAGAGCATTTTCTTTGACCTCTTTTGAAAAGTAAGGCTCTTCAATGCGGCTAAATATGGGTCTTGGGTTGCCTAATTTCTCCGGAGATTGCCTCCTGGATCTGAATAATTTTAAGCGATTTTCTTTTTGGCCGTGAATGTGAAGGTTTCCTGCGATTTTTTGTCACGTAGAGTAAGAAGGATAGTGATATCCAAATCTCAAAGAATGGATTGCAGCGTAAACTAAAACTACATCAACTATGGAGAATTGGGATGTGACTCAGTCATGACTGCTCATGAGTTTTGACTGCCGCTTGTTTTTCTGGAGATAACGTGAGTCTTTGGACTGGAGTGCGTAGTTCCTCCCTCGGTGATAACTTTTGAATAAGCTTAACAGCCTTGCGACTGTTCTGTTATTCTCACCTTGTGATCAGGCAAGACCATGGTTTCGGTTCTCCATGCGAACCTCATCAGTTGCCGGGTTGGCTTTCTTCTTAGTTGCTTCTACAAGAGCAACTCTAGTTATTTGTTCTGCTCTAGGTATTTGTTGTGTAAATTGTGATTATGTCGAGTGTTGATAGCGGCTAGCGCTTTTTTGACATATGTTGACAGATTTCCATGGAAGAGCCAATCAGAGTTTTGCGTTGTGAGAGCAACGCATAAGTTCAAAAGTTTGGGCTTTGTCTGTAGTCCCTCATTTTTCTCTCTCCCCGCCGCATGTCGCCTTTTCTCGCGTGGGGTGATTTTCACGCGCGCTCGCGTTTCGCTCGCTCTACTTTCCCTGAGGGAAAATGGGGGACTACTCGTAGTCTATTATAAGTACTAAGATTTACTCACAGAATGACAGTGATGAAAAAATTGTACTGTTTTTAGACACAGCCAATCAGCGACGGTAAATTTTCACTAGTGAAAAGTGATTGTACGCCCCGTCTATCGGGAAACCACCTGACTTTAAGCGCGAAAACTGGCAAGCGCTTTTTCATTTTAAAGATGTTGAAAAGGTTTGGAAACGTCGGGAGCCGGGAGCCGGGGGCGGGAACAGAAGTCTGGGAACGAGTAGTCAGAGGTAGTCCGTAAAAATCAAAAATGGCCGATAAGGATCAAGGATCAACGTCGCTATTTTACTTGAACTATATGCTCATGAGGTGCTTGAATAATGAGGAGGTCAGATAAGCTTAACTTCACGACATTTTTCACCTATGTTTTACTAAACATGTCCTTTTTCTCAAGCCCAAATTAAGACATGTTGGCGATGAGATAAAAACTGTAAATCTAATAATAGTATATCAACAAACCTATGGTGAGAAGTAAGTGCAAGTTGTATTATTTGCATGTAAACCCTCTAGTGAAAAATAGTACCCCTTTCACAAGTAAGAATGCTGCATCTCTTTTAACTTTTAAATACACCCTCTTTACAATATGAATAAATCGCTGAAACAGATGACAGATTCCCCCCTTATGGGGGGGGGGGGGGGGGGGGGGGAAAGAGGGGTTCGGGGGGGGGGGGAATGGGGGGGGAGAGAGAAACACAAGGTTTTTATCGGGGGAAGGGGGGGGGGGTTTTTTTTTTTGTAGACTTAAAACATCGCCGGCAATAGCCAGAGATTTTGATTTGTGATGATTAAAAATGTCATTAAAACCCCTAAAGAAAAAAAATCACCCCTTACACAAGAAAAAATGTTGCATTTTTTTTAATTTTTAAAACACCCCCCTTTAAAAATAAAAAAAACGCGGGAAAAAAAAGAAAAATCCCCCCCTTTGGGGGGGGGGGGGGGGAGGAGGTAACTGAGGATTTGCGGTGAGTGAGAATTAGTGCATGCAATGCAATCCAATGGTTTTAATGCAGGAAAGGGTCGTGGGTTTTTTTTTTTGCAGAACTACAAATGGCCGCCGAATGACTCTGAGGTTTAGTGATTAGAGTTAGGAAACTGAGTGAATCAGGTTCCATTTTGGGTCATACTGGCAAATTGACCTGAAACAATTGTTTCACAAAATAAACTGAAATTGTTTGATTTTCATGTATTAGTAGTGAAACACTTCGATGAAAATCGTGAATTCTTGCAGTGTAGTAGATCTAATAATAGTAATAGCAGAACCAGATTGTTAAAGTAGTTTTGGAAATTTGGTGATAAAATGATCAATAAGATTTTTCAAACCAGTAATCTCTGTCTAAGGAAATAGGAGACGTCTGCACACGGGATACCTCGCTGCTTCGATGTATGTTACCTATCAAGGAAAAGTCGTTCATTCTTTGGTGGGCTAGACAGTATATATTCGCTTGAGTTCAAGATATGTGGCTGTGCTTTGCGAGTTTTTCTCCCGACTACATATTCTTTCAACTGCTTTTAGAGCATATTTTTTTCCTACGGGTTTGTCTTTTGTTGTTGTTGTTGTTGTTTCGAGGCGGGCCCACACCCCTGGATATGTTAAGTAAAACGCAAAAGGTAGAAAATGTCGACATGAAATTATTGCCTCCGCATATTATTTTAAGCACTTCAAGAGCAGATAGTTCAAGTAAAATAGCCACGCTTCTCTATCATCGATCTTATCGGTTTCTTGATCCTTAACGGGCCATTTAGGATTTTTGTGGGGCTTACCGCTGACTACTCGTTTCCAGACTTACGTTCCCCGTTCCCCGCTCCCGGTTCCCTGTTCTCCATTTTAGTAACATGCGGTTGGCAAAATTCTCGATAGTTATGAATACCCTCGACTTCCTCTCGGGTTTGAATAACTGTCTCGAATTCTCCCAACCCCTCTCCCGTTTATATCAGGTTACATAAAAACGGAAAACGTTTTCGCTTAAATAATACATAACTGGAGATCCCGCCTATTATTACGTCTCTTTGCATTTAAGACATTTGACGACCAGGTTCCATTATACCGAGAGGGTTACACCTCATGGAGTTGATGTGTTGCCCTAGCTTTCATTTCTACGCATGTATCATATCTGATCATCAACTGAATATAAGTTTTCCTCGTAAAATATAAGAGTAAAAAAAGAGCGTAGAAGCATAAGAGGAGAATATCTCCTTTTATATTTTGTTCGGATATTACGTACTTGACTGTCAAAGCTAAATATCCTTTTTTAATAATCGTGTTCGTTTTAATGAGATACTATTTAAGCGATTTATAGAATCATCTCACAAGTCGTTATCTGTCATTCGTGTTTATAATAACAGGGTGTGGAGCTGTTGTAAACAACACCCTCAAAAGTCCAGGATATCCTAGCAGATATCCAAATAACATGGATTGCGTCTATCGGGTACAAATTCCTCACGGAATGATATTGAGAATCGTCTTCAGATCTTTTTACCTGGAATCTAGGTAAGGACTTGCTTTATCTACATGATTTCTTAATAATGTCAATATAGTTTTCTTACATAAGCTAGGAAGGTTTACCTTAGTCGATTCTAGAGATCGGTAATCATTTGGGATACTAAAAAGCTTCAGGTGTCGAAGATCATTTTTTATAATAAGTTAAGAGCTATTTAGACTTGGGGAGGGAGAGTACTGGTTTCACTGGGCCCCCAAAACTCTGAAGTTAAAGAGCTTCAAAACTGATTTCCTCGATTATTCATACGAGTTTTAAGTAAAATTGAATATATTCCAGTAAGAATATAACTTCTTGTTCTAGATATGACTATTTGACGATCAAAAACGAAAACAATCAGACCTTTGGAAGATACACTGGTTTGCTGTATGGAAAATTTGTTGACGTTACTGGACAATATGCTGTGTTGTCTTTTCAATCGGACGGAAGTATTACAAAGCCTGGATATGTGCTGAGATTCTATTTTTACAGTTAGTGCATTTACAATTGTTTTTTGTTTTTGTTTTTTTTGTTTTAATCATTTTTATCACAAACAACGCCAAACCTCGTTCCCAGGTTCTCTCTCCTACCCATGTTAGCTTGCTCTGCAGGGAAGTGTAGGAGAGAACCCTGGGAACGAGGTTGAAACAATGCCTACCTTAAACATTAGTTCAACTGATTGATATTCATTTTTTGTGTGGTATGCTTAATATAATATTAAAGGCCAAAAATAAAATCAGATAGTTAAAAATAGAACATAATTATACACAGTTAAAACTGACGTCCCTTTTTTTTGCTCTTGATCAGAAACAGTATAAGATAAATCTAAACTAGTGAAAATAACATCTTTATCGAAGTAGAGTAGATAAAACCGGGCCTAAAAAAGCTGTCGGACCTGAGTGGCCAGTGCTGCGTCGATGTCTTCAGACATCGCTATGTAAATCCTAGGAGATGAAGTAAAACTTTCCGTTTTTATTTCTATCTCCTCGATACATATATTTTTTTGCAATTTCTAGATGATTTTTAAGTTTGTTTTTGTTTTTTATCTCTCTCTCTCTCTTTAAAGGTCAATAGAAATCACGTGACCAGTAACCAGGGAAGCAATCAAGCCAGAAATTGCCATAATTAAACACACTAGTATTTGTTAAGACTTTCCGGGAAATATCTTTTAGGGAAAGTAAGAAATTTACAGCTAGCCCCATTAAGAGTTCAGCAATATATGCACGTAACCGACATCATCCCCACCAAACACAAATGTGGGTTCTTTGAATCTGGCCATTGGCGTTTCACAAAACCACCATGCTGTAGACCTACAGACGCACTTGGAGAAGACAAACAATAAACTCACATCATATAAAATGATAATTCCCTTTGTATTCTATTTGCCGGTGCGTAGTTTGCTCTCCAAATGGCCGTTTTCCTTATTATTATTATTATTATTATTATTATTATTATTATAATTATTATTATTATTTATTACAGGGTATAAAATCCGTTAAAAAGGGGCAATTATATCAGTTTTTAGATGTACGAAAATCCTAGGAGAGGCAGGCAAGCAAGAAAAAAAAAAAAAAAAACCTACACTCAGGTAGGGTGCATGCATCTAGCACTGTTCATTTTTTTTTTCTGCTTTCCCACAGGAAATACCACAAACCCACCGCCAACTACATATTATCCACCGCTGACAACCCAGAACCCGTCAGGTAATAAAAATAAGCATAAAAATAACTTTCAGCGCAAGAGGATTCAAATCGAAATATTAAAAATGTTGGCTCAATCGCTGATGTTTCTATTGAAGATAGCGACATCTCCATATCCCTCAGACTGAATGAAAAGTGAAAATGCGGTTCCTCCCATAATTGTCAAGTTTACTCATCGTTGTGTCGGGGATGCTCTTTACAAAGGAAAGTCGAGGTTAAAGAATTTGACAATCGAAGATACTGGCTAATGGGCAGTCAAGATGATAACAAGATTTTTATTCAAGAAAGTCTTACTCCAGCAAGAAGGGAGCTATTTCACAAATATAATGAGTTAAAGAAGAAATGCAAACTTCGATATATTTGGTCTTTCTATGGGAACATTTGTCTTCGTAAGAATGATACCAGCGCCCCATTTAAAGTCTGCTCCGAGAAAGATCATGCAAAATGGTCACCAGTGATATTCTCATCCAATTGTATTACTCCTTAGTGTACCCTTTCCTAACTTATGGCTTAATTGTCTGAGGTAATACTTATGGTACAACTCTAAAACCTGTTGTAGGCAGTGCCAATAATTTCATATTCTCATCGTGATGCTCATTCTAGTCCACTGTTTTCACAGCTAGCTTTAATGAAGCTTATGGATCTTGTAACTATTCATACTGCCCTTTTTATGTTTCAATTCCATCACAATCTACTAAATACAGCTTTTAACAACTTATTTTTACTTGTATCATCTAAGCATGGGTATAGTACTAGGCTAGCGTCAAAGTCAACTTATTATATTGATCAGGTCAGAACTAATCACATAAATTTAATTTTCACTTCTCTGGTGCTTCTGTTTGGAATAATCTGGATGGAAATTTAAAAAGCAGTTCTTTGACAGTATTGAAGCAAACGGGAAGGCAGATATTTTATCAACTTACTGTTGTTGCTGACCAATGTGGAATAACTTATCCTTATTAATGTAAACTTAATAATTCTCTGGTACCGTTTTTGTTTGCGTTTTTGTTTGTTTTTCTTTTATGTTGTTCTATTTTATCTTAATTACATTAATTAATTAATTAATTAACTTATGTTTATCACACTTTTTTTATCACAGTATCTCCTAAATTTATGATATTTATCCTTTTTATTATCGTGTGTTGTAACCATAAAATTTTTGCCATTCTGAGTAGTTTTTTGCTTTATCTATTTTAATTTATGCTTTTCTTGTAAATGTTTTAAGATGAAAAAATAAAATGGTTAGTTGTTGTTGTTGTTGTTGTTATTGTTGTATTGCATTAACCCCTGATCATTTTTTTTCTGCTGTCCCACAGGAAATGCCACAAACCCACCGCCAACTACATATTATCCACCGCTGACAACCCAGGGCCCGTCAGGTAATGAAAATAAGCATGAAAATAACTAATGCGGCCGTACATTGATAGAAGTTACTCGACTTTCAAAACTAAGCATCCTTTTTTAGAAACAATAGTGTTCGTTTTTATTGAGATAATATTAACTGATTTATAGAATTCACTCACAAGTCGTAATCTGTCATTCGTGTTTATAATAACAGGGTGTGGAGCTGTTGTAAACAACACCCTCAAAAGTCCAAGATATCCTAGCAGATATCCAAATAACATGAATTGCGTCTATCGGGTACAAATTCCTCACGGAATGGTAATGAGAATCAACTTCAGTTCTTTTCTCCTGGAATCTGGGTAAGGACTTGTTTTACAGAAATTAATAACCAGCTTTTTGCCACCACAAATCTTAATCTGTAACACTATAATGTCATTATATTTTTCTTACATAAGCCAGGTGGGTATACCTTAGTCGATTCTGGAGATCGGTAATCGTTTAGGAAACTTACAAGCTTAAAGCTATTCAGACTAGGGGGAGTACTGGTTTTATAGGGCCCTCAAAACGTTAAAGTTGAATAACTTAAAAAACCGTTTAAGCTTTGACCGCCAGTCATGGCGAATTTTCCTAAAACTTATGTGAGAACTTTGTAACGTCGTCGTAACGTTAACATTAACGTTCTCCACTTACCGTGGCAACCTAATTTTAACGACCATGTTTTTCAAAATTTGCATTTTTCTTATGAGGGGTTTTATTACCATTTTTCACTGATTAAATATAATTATGATAATACACTTAATTTAGCATTATTCAATCAAATTTATTATAACTGCTAATGTGATCCAGACATTTTAAGGTCCTTATTTGAAGCGGGAAAAAAAGGAAAAATTAAAAAAAAAATTAAAAAATTACCAAATGACAGATGATGGGTACAATTTTCAAAAGTTTTCATTTCTCTGGGATTTTTTTTTTTTTACAAATAATTAGCTTCTTAAGCATCCTTTTATACACAAATTGAATTTTACATCACGATTACCTTGATTTATACGAGCTTTGAGTAAAAATTGACTATATTTCAATAACAATATAACTTCTTCTTTAAATGTTGTTCTAGATTTGATTACCTGACGATAAAAAACGAAAACAATCAGAACTTTGGAAGATACAGTGGTGGGCAGTCTGGACAAATTGTTGACGTTACTGGACGTTATGCCGTGTTGTCTTTTCATTCTGACGGAAGTGTGGGATATAGAGGGTTTCTGCTGAGATTCTTTTTTTACAGTTAGTGCATTTACAACGCCTTTCTTCAATTATTAGTTCAACCATTTACATGCATTTTGTTTGTGTTGTTTGCTTAAACGGTATAATATTTAAAGTTAAAAGTAAAATAAAATATAATATAACATTATTATGCATAGTTATAGCTGACTTCGCTTTTTTCACCCTAGAAACTGTTTAAGATAAGTCTGAACTAGTGCAAATAACATCTATATCAAAATAGAGTAGACAAAACCTGGTCTAGAAAAAAACGGGTGTCATCGAAAAAGGAAATGTTTTGTCTTCAATTGTGTTCAATTTATATGATTTTTAAGAAGGGCTGGAAGAGTGCATGCTTGTGATAAGTTTAAATGTACATATATATATATATATATTCTCCAAAAGGCCAATAGAAATCACGTGACCAGTAACCATGGAAGCAATCAAGCAATAAATTATCATAATTAAACACATTATTTCTTGTTAAAATTTTGCGACAAATATCTTTTAGGGAAAGAAAGTTATAGCCTCAAGATTTCAGCAATTTATGTACACATCCGAAATACGTCTCCACCAAATACAAATGTAGGTTCTTTGAATCTGGCCATTGGCGGTTCACGAAACCACCATGCTGTAGACCTACGGACGCACTGGGAGAAGACAAACAAAGACCTCACATCATATAAAATGATAATTCCCTTTGTATTCTATTTCCCATTGCGTCTTTTGCTCTTCGGATGGCGTTTCTGTTTTTTTGTATTTTTTTTTTCAATTTTTTTTTACACCCAAGGCCCGTTAGGTAATGAAAATAAGCATGAAAATAACTTTCAGCACAAGAGGATTCAAATCAAATTGTTAGCAATTATTGGACAAGGTTGAACAAAATAATTGATCTGCGAGACACTGACAAATCACGATATAATTGTTTTATCATTCGATCACCGAGTTTGTTTTTTTTAATGAATATCCTCGGGAAGCTAAGCTATCTGCCATTTTCACGCAAGAGCGATCGCAAGAAGGAGAAAAGCACGGTTTCCTTTACGCATGTACAGAATATTATTTGCAGCCAAACACAGTTGGACGGCATTGCGCATGAGCACACCATTATTTGTAGGCAGTTTTTTGCAGGTCAAGGGTGGGCTCTTGGCCAATGAAAAGGAAGAAACGTTTGCATCGAATGATGATTAAAAATGTTGGCTCAATCCTTGATGTTTCTATTGAAGATAGCGACATCTCCATATCCCACAGAATGAAATTAAGGTGAAAATGCGGTTCCTCCCATAATTGTCAAGTTTACTTGTCGTTGTGTCGGGGATGCTCTTTACAAAGCAAAGTCGAGGTTAAAGAATTTGACAATCGAAGACATTGGCTAATGGGCAGTCAAGGTGATAACAAGATTTTTATTAAAGAAAGTCTTACTCCAGTAAGGAGGGAGCTATTGTACAAATATAATGAGCTAAAGAAGAAATGCAAACTTCGATATATCTGGTCTTTTTATGGGAACATTTTTCTTCGTAAGAATGATACCAGCGCCCCATTTAAAGTCTGTTCCGAGAAAGATCAGGCAAAATGGTCACTAATGATATTCTCATCCAATTGTATCACTCCTTAGTGTTCCCTTTCCTAACTTATGGCTTAATTGTCTGAGGTAATACTTATGGTACAACTCTAAACCCGGCCTGTTGTAGTTTTACAGAAAAAGGAAGTGCGAATAATTACATATTCTCATTGTGATGCTCATTCTAGTCCACTGTTTTCACAGCTAGGTTTAATGAAGCTTATGGATCTTGTAACTATTCATACTGCCCTTTTTATGTTTCAATTCCATCACAATCTACTAAATACAGCTTTTAACAACTTATTTTTACTTGTATCATCTAAGCATGGGTATAGTACTAGGCTAGCGTCAAAGTCAACTTATTATATTGATCAGGTCAGAACTAATCACATAAATTTAATTTTCACTTCTCTGGTGCTTCTGTTTGGAATAATCTGGATGGAAATTTAAAAAGCAGTTCTTTGACGCTATTGAAGCAAACGAGAAGGCAGATATTTTATCAACTTACTGTTGATGCTGGCCAGTGTGGAATAACCTACCCTTATTAATGTAAACTTAATAATTCTCTGCTACCGTTTTTGTTTGCGTTTTTGTTTGTTTTTCTTTTATGTTGTTATATTGTAGCTTAATTTAATTAATTAATTAACTTATTTTTATCACATTTTTTCTATCACACTATCTCCTAAATTTATGATATTTTTCCTTTTTATTATCGTGTGTTGCAACCCTATAAATTTTTGCTTCAATTCTATTTCAATTTATGCTTTTCTTGTAAATGTTTTAAGATGAAAAAATAAAATGGTTAGTTGTTGTTGTTGTTGTTATTGTTGTATTGCATTAACCCCTGATCATTTTTTTTTTCTGCTATCCCATAGGAAATGCCACAAACCCACCGCCCACTACATATTATCCACCGCTGACAACCCAGAACCCGTCAGGTAATGAAAATAAGCATGAAAATAACTAATGCGGTCGTACATTGAGAGAAGTTACTTGACTTTCAAAACTAAGCATCCTTTTTTTTAGAAACAATAGTGTTCGTTTTTATTGAGATAATATTAACTGATTTATAGAATCCACTCACAAGTCGTTATCTGTCATTCGTGTTTATAATAACAGGGTGTGGCGCTGTTGTAAACAACACCCTCAAAAGTCCAAGATATCCTAGCAGATATCCAAATTACATGAATTGCGTCTATCGGGTACAAATTCCTCACGGAATGGTAATGAGAATCAACTTCAGTTCTTTTCTCCTGGAATCTGGGTAAGGACTTGTTTTACAGAAATTAATAACCAGCTTTTTGCCATCGGAAATCTTAATCTGTAACACTATAATGTTATTATAGTTTTCTTACAAGCGAGGTAGGTATACCTCAGTCGATTCTGGAGATCGGTAATCGTTTAGGAAACTAACAAGCTTAAAGCTATTCAGACTAGGGGGAGTACTGGTTTTATAAGGCCCTCAAAACGTTAAAGTTGAATAACTTCAAAACCGTTTAAGCTTTGACCGCCAGTCATGGCGAATTTTCCTAAAACTAAAATGAGAACGTTGTAAAGTCGTCATAACGTTAACATTAGGGAGCTTAAGCAACTACGACAACAACCACAACGACGACTTCAAAAAAACAATAGCTTTAATGATCAAAACAACAGCTCTGCACGCGTCACGCTTTTTACTACATTTCTTTGACGTCTACCGCACTACGACGTGAAACCTCCTAATTTGACGTTTTATGGAGGACTTGGATATACGACGACGGATTTTCCTTCATCTTTTTGAACCTGAATAAAATTCTTAAGAATTCAAACCCAGGAAAAGTCGCCTGCGTTTGACATATTGAGCGGGTCCAAATAGATGCGATTAAGTTTGAACAAGAGACTATAGAGGGGACAGAGACGAGCTCGAGACGAATTACCTATGGAATAGGGTGTATATCGGGGATGCCCTCTCTGTCCCCTTTAAAGTCTCTTGGTTTGAAAGAACGCAAATTCATTTTTTAGCGACGTTTTCTCTGCCTTCGTCATCGTCCTTGCTTAAGGTCCCGATTAACGTTCTACGCTTGCCGTGGTAACCTAATTTTGACAACCATGTTTTTAAAAATGTGCATTTTTCTTATGAGGGGTTTTATTCTCATTTTTCACTGATTAAATATAATTATTATAGTACACTTAATTTAGCATTATTCAATCAAATTTATTATAACTGTTAATGTGATCCAGACATTTTAAAGTCCTTATTTGAAGTGGAAAATAAGGAATAAAAAAAGAATTTAAAAAATGAGCAAATGGCAGATGATGGGTACTTTTTTCAAAAGTTTTCATTTCTCTGGGATTTTTTTTTTAATTTTTTAATTTTTTAATTTTTTTTTTTTACAAACAATTACCTCATTAAGCATCTTTTTATACACAAATTGAATTTTACATCATGATTGGCTTGATTTATACGACTTTTAAGGAAAATTGACTATATTTCAATAACAATGTAACTTCTTCTTTAAATGTTGTTCTAGATATGACTACCTGACGATAAAGAACGAAAACAATCAGAACTTTGGAAGATACACTGGTGGGCAGTCAGGAAAAATTGTTGACGTTACTGGACGTTATGCCGTGTTGTCTTTTCAATCTGACGGAAGTGTGGGATATAGAGGGTTTCTGCTGAGATTCTTTTTTTACAGTTAGTGCATTTACAACGTCTTTCTTCAGCTATTTATAACTATTTATATGCATTTTGTTTGTGTTGTTTGCTTAAAAGGTATAATATTTAAAGCTAAAAGTAAAATAAAATATAATATAACATTATTATGCATAGTTAAAAATGACTTAGCATTTTTCACTCTAGAAACTGTGTAAGAGAAGTCTGAAGTAGTGCAAATAACATCTATATCAAAATAGAGCAGATAAAACCTGGTCTAAAAAAACAACGGGTGTCATACAAAAAGGAAATGTTTCGTCTTCAATTGTGTTCAATTTATATGATTTTTATGAAGGGCTGGAAGAGTGCATGCTTGTGATAAGTTTAAATGTACACACACACATATATATGTATATATATTTATACACAAAAATATTACATTCTCCAAAAAGCCAATAGAAATCACGTGACCAGTAACCATGGAAGCAATCAAGCCATAAATTATCATAATTAAACACAATAGTTCTTGTTAAAATTTTCCGAGAAATATCTTTTGGGGAAAGAAAGTTATAGCCTCAAGAGTTCAGCAATTTATGAACACATCCGACATTCGTCCCCATCAAATACAAATGTAGGTTCTCTGAATCTGGGCATTGGCGTTTCACAAAACCACCATGCTGTAGACCTACGGACGCACTGGGAGAAGACAAACAATTAACTCACATCATAAAAAGTGATAATTCTCTTTGTATTCTTTTTCCCAGTGCGTCTTTTGCTCTTCAGATGGCGTTTTTTTTTCACTTTTTTTTTTTACAGCTGGATGTCTATTCCACTGGCCACAACAACGATAACAAAAAAAACAACAACAACAACAACAACAACAACAACAAAAACAAAAACATACACTCAGGTAGGGTGCATGCATCTTCCACTGTTCATTTTTTTTTCTGTCTATCCCAAAGGAAATGCCACAAACCCACCGCCAACTACATATTATCCACCGCTGACAACCCAGAACCCGTCAGGTAATGAAAATAAGCATAAAAATAACTAATGCAGGACTTACATTCACTTGATAATACTTTTCCCTATAAATGAGGCAGTTATCCTGGATTCAAATAGTATTCAGTCTTCTTACACTTATCATCATCATCATCTTAATTATCATTATTATTATTATTATTATTATTATTATTGTTAAGTTTCCGAAATTTTCAGGTTAATCAGTGAGATCGTCTTTTTGAGACCTTACGTTTTATTGTTTTTTTTAAAATTATTTCCGTCCAGCCCTAACTGCACAAAAGCAAAAATGATCTTCCTCTCTTCATGTAACTAGAACAACTAAACGGCCCTTCATCCATTCATCCTTACTCACACTGATTCACTCACACTTAGATTTAAGGAAAGTCAAGCTACCTTGTATACATTGACCTTGAAAATGTCAGCGATATACAGATGCAGCAACGGATAAGGGATAACGAGGCCTCCCCAATCATACCTAGTCACAATAAGTACTATAGACTGCGTTTAACGCTGGATACACATATAAACTGAATTAGCCAATCGGTAGTTAAAAGTGTTAACTCTAGATTTAAAATTTAAGAAAGGGAAATTAAGGCTGATGTCACATTTTGTTTGCATTTAATGTTCTCCTCTGTCTGTGTTTAATTCAAACTATTTCGCCTTTTAAAACCTCATGCATCAAGAACTTGGGGTAACCCTTCGCTTTCAATACGGAACCTCTAGTATAACTTTCTTTAGGCCCAGTCCTCACGTATCCGGCTTTTTTGTACACCAAATTCCCTCCCCTCCCCCTCCCCCCCACCCCTGTTTTCGAGAAAGAAAAATACGGTTCCACACGTAGCCTATTCGAATCGTTTTCGCCCACTAAAACGATGGAAATGCGATAGCATCACTTACGGAGCACGCGCAGTGCTAGTATGTTATGATGTATGACATCATTGCGTGTTTACAACTTCCTTTTTCGTCCGTCCACAGTCAATATTTTTCTTTTCCTGTTTGGCAGGGTGTGGTGGTGTTGTTAACAACGTCCTCAAGAGTCCTAGATATCCCCTGAACTACCCAAACAACATGGATTGTAACTACTGGGTGCTTATTCCACTCGGTTATGTGCTGAACATTTCCTTTAGTTCTTTTGAGCTGGAATATTCATGGTCCTGCAGGTAAAGACTAGTTTTGAATTATCACCATCAACATTAGAAAAAACAGAAAATATTATTATGATGATAACAACCTGATTTGTTGCAAGACAGTACAGGCTCGCACAACTTCGCTTTTCAACAGCCATTTGCAAGGTGGCGTCAATTTAATACTACTACTAAAAAAATTATTTCGTTTTCCCTTTTATATTCAATGGTGGTTTTCCAAAGAGGCCTATTTAACTCGTTTTGCAGCAATGTTACAAAATTTGTTGCTCGTTCTTGTTGCGCGTTTTACCCTGGCTTTTAGCCTGCAGCGCAGGCGTTTTCTTCGGGCGCGCGAATTTTTTTTCTCGCGAAAGCGCCATGTTGAAACTACTCTCCCAATCCTCCTCTGTCATAAAATCAAAGATGGCGGCTACAACAATACGAACATGAACAAGCTTTCCCCCACCCAAAATACACTTGCACTGAGGCTACCTAGCTTTAGGCGCTTAATTTCACATCATATCGGATGGCTTTTGCGTGGGCACGAAACCACATTGGATGGGGTTTCTGTTCAAATAACAATGAAAACGGTGATTTCAGCACGATTTCTATGCCGGAAGAAAGCTGCGCCGCACTGATCTCTGAAGTGGAGAGCAACATATCGGAAAGGTGTTCACGCTATAGCTTTTCGTGACGGCACAATAACCTATCCGCTCTAGCGTGTACAATTGTGTGTACTTAACAATTATTCCTCGAGCCCGAATGGGCTCTGAGTCAATAGCCAATGAGGCCGAAGGCCGAATGGGCTATTGACTCAAACTCCACGAGGGCGAGAGGAATAATTGTTTTAGTAAAATCCAACTAGTTGGTCAAAAATATCGAGACAAAACAACTTTAGCTAGTTAAAGCTAGACTTTAATCCTTTTTTGCTTCCTAAAAGCCGGCGCTTTTCGCTACTAAAGGGCTATAACATATAGCCTAGTTAATCAGAATGCAGCATTGATAATAGACCACTCTTTGGATTTTACTAATTGTATATAGGCTTGGATTTAAAACTGATAATATTAAAAATATGAAATATATCAAGAAATAGATCTTTACAACAATTAAATAAAAATGAACAGAAAACAACGATAAAACAAGCAAAACAAACAACAACAACATCAACAAATACAACTAAACAAATCAATAAAATTTTAATTACATTAGGGTCACGAAATCTCCTCTCTTTTCAAAAGACTCATCAAATAAAGATTGTGTCTGCTTACTTAATTTTCAGTGCTTGAAATAAAGGCGCTTGGAGCCACCACCATTCGAGATTACTTGCTCCTATTTGTAGTTTTCTTTCGAATGGTATACAAAGAAAAAACAAAACAAAACAAAATTAGACAAAGATACTTTGTTTGTATGTTTCGTTGCAAGCATTCTTTCCTACTTTCGCCTTTTCCGAAAAGACGCCGACTGTTTTGATTATTTTTTTGCAGATATGACTACTTAAAGATTACTAATGAGCACAATCAGACCGTTGGAAAGTACTGCGGAGTAAAAACTGGACGAAATGTTTACGTCACTGGGCGCTTTGCTGTGATATCATTTCACTCCGACGGAAGTCGTGCATTTAGTGGATATCTGCTAAATTTTTCATATATCAGTGGGTATATTTTTTTTAACGTTTACCTACTTTTAACCCGAAGTAAAGAGTATTTTTAACGGTTTTCGAACCTAAACGCGTATACGCTATGGACAGGTATATAGTGGAGTACATAGTGAGACACTATGACAGGGCATTTATTTTTGGGGGTTGCTGTTCTGCTTAAGTAAAATCGCTATCAATAATCCCCGGATGTGATTTTTTATTGAGAAAATTCTAAGAGACAAAATATGCCTCCTTTTGTTATTCGTTAGACTATCTCACATTTCGCCACGCCCAAAACAACCTATACCTGTCTCTGAAGTACAAAAACCTCCGAAGGAAGGTCAGAAACATTTTGGCAACTTGGCAAGAAAAGTCACATATTACATGAACCTTCAGATTATTCAACCACAACGTATCAAGCCTTTAAATGCTGAAAAAAAGTATTGATAACTTTTCGTCCAGTATAAGCGTTGGCTTTCAAAGATCATGGCAATGAATTAATTAAGATGTGTTCTTCCCCTTTGAACTTGTGTGAACTTCAGAATCTTCAGCATATAAAGCAGCGTAACTGTATTAACGGACATTGGTTATTTCATTTATTTGAACGTTAAAAAGGGTCGGTCAAAGTATTGACCCCTTGAGAGACGCCTATTAGAAGAGCCACAACCACAACACGAGAGAAACTGAGTTATATTAGAAAGATAGGCCTCATCCACTCCACGGCTGTGGCGCGTACACCGTATGCTTGCAGTTTGTCCAGAAGAGTAGCGTGAGCAATCTCGTCGAATGCAAGAAAAAGAAAGCACATATGACGCTTTCCCGTTTGTCCATAGCCAATTTCCATGAATCGACTGTTCTGATCAATGCAGTTGTAGCTAGTAGAAGATTCTTTGACGAAGGCAAACTGGTGCTGTTGAATTAGATCTGCTTCTTTAAGCTTGTAGCTCTTGGATTTTCGAGATGTAAGACAGGACTGACATAGGTTTATAGTTGTCGCTCTCTGATCTCTTGTCACCCTTATACACTTTAGTTACTTTCGCGGGTTTCCAAGAGGTGGGATATATTCCTTGATTGACAGACTCATTGATAAAAATGAGTGACGACCTGGCTGATGTGGGGTGCAGCGATCTTTAATGCTATTGTGGGAATCCCGCCAGAAACAGTAGCTTTAGACGCGTCGATTGTGTATCAAGTTATGAACGTCCTGGTGGCGCAAGTTGTGGCAGATTGAGCATGTGAGGGCTGGTGGTTTCCTTAGTTTGATTGTTACGGTAGATCGTACGCCCGTCAAAAGTCCCGTTCACACCACAGCTTAAACACTTAAAGCTGTTTAGCTAAACACGTTTTAATTTTTTTTCTTTTATAAAAGCTGCTTACTGACTTAAAACTGTGAAAGGTTTGAACCCAGGAGTCATTTCAAAAGTAGGTTGAGTTTGATCATCCGGGAGAACGTAGTCCTGAATAGGACTGTTGTTTTTGACAGTGACTGACGTTTCGACAACCTGTGCGGTAGTCATCAACGTGGTTTGTATCACGTCAGTTGATGGTATTATACTCTGGTTATTGATATGATTGGTCAATTACGTCGCGATGTTAATGGTCGTCTGTCAGTTAAGCCGTGATGTTATTGGCTATGAAGACTCGTAATCAGTAATTGGTGCGTTTCGATCCGTCTATTTACTGACTTAAGTTGACTCCAAATTTAGTGCAAATTACAAAACATGATGAATTTTATTTAAATCCTGTGTGAAACCCAGCTGTGTTCCAGTTTTCCGTGTCTGTTTTTCATTTTTTAAAACCTGGTTTAATTAAACATGTTTAGTTGGTGTGAATGGGGCATAGAAAAGACGACACAATGGTTGTGAAATATGGTTTAATGATTCTGCAGTACGGCTCAAGGGTCATGCAGTTCGTTCCCATCTACTACCACGTTCTGAATTTCACTACCCTTATCTTAAATTTACCAGGCAAAGCTTTGCGAAGTATATATAGTTTACCTCATAGAAAGTGCTTTGTACGGCGTTATATTCACGGAGTTGTTTGTGTCAAAAGCACTCTCTCGCTCGTACCTCGCTCGTTAAAACAACTCGTGAATATAGATTGTTTTCACTGTCACGGAACAAAAAAATAAATTGGAAATCGTCCAGTGGAAGAGGCCAAGAAAATGAAATGTTATAATAGACTAATGAACAATTTGTCGACGTCTCAGGTCTTTGTGGCCACAGTTTCTGAGTTATTTGCAGAAAAATCTCACGCACCTTTGGAGAGCTAATTGTATAGAGACGCTATATTGGTGTACCGTTTTGGTGTACCAATATGGCCTCTCGTAATTCATAAAAACATCTGGAGTTCACTTTTTTTATAAAAGCTCTTTCTTTTCACTCGAGAACTAGCATACGTGCGGATAAACATATCTTCTAATACTTGAAATTGTTATACTGCTGAAAACCAAGAGAATAAGAGACAGCATTCCTATTTTGGTGTCACGCACTGTGAAAACTCGGAAGTTCAAATTGCTGTATTTTTGAAATGAAACGTGCTACGGGAATGGAAACTTCGACAAAGATTTACTTTTTGTTTATCTTTAACCTGGTGTAAATACCAATTCGTAAAACCTCGTTATTTTGACTTTACAATTTGATGACGTCACTGTGAAAATCATCTATTACCCCGTACAAAGCACTTTCAGATTAATATTACACATATCACGAGAATTTTCTCTGAAATAGTTTTCTCAATGTAACACATATTACTAAGAGCAAATCACAAAGAGTAGAACCAGATGCAAATTTAACAGTAATTGCAAATCTCGCAGCACATCCTATATCCTCATCGTGCTGAACAGAAAATTTACTTGCAAAAGTTTAATCTAGTAAGTACGTTACAAAAAACAGACCTAAGTGATGTGTGCTGTATTATTATTCTCCGTCGTTCTTCCGAACTTGAAGTAGAAAAAAAATGGCGATTAACACGTCGGGATCTCTTTCATCAATATTTTCCAACTCTCTCCGCTCGTTCCTTGAAACTAAAACCTTTTTAATAACGATCGCTCTGTGTTTTGCTTGATGCGCTCTTGTTTTCTTGATGCTGCACAAACTCTTCTAAGGAGCAACCACCCGACACAGACCTGTTATTTTTTCCTTCGTTCCCACTATTTTCTGAAGAAAAATTTGGAAGCGCCCCAAAAAAGCCGCCAAATCTAGAAAACAATTGAATGCCAAAGATGAAAGACTCTGATTGGATCAAAATCATCTACGCGGTCGTTGATTGGTTATACTTCCGCATGTGAAAACAGCTGTACACCGTAGTCTGATTGGCTGTATAAGCTTTTCTCACATGTGAAAATAAAGCGTATAAATTTCTACAAACAAGCTTTAACAAATAAAACTCTCGTGATACGGGTATTAAATAATGATATACTTCCCTCATGACTAACACTTACGTTAACCGGTATTTACTTGTTTCCTGTCTGCCTTGCACATGATTTGTTTTACAAAGTCCTTTTGAGAAAAACATGAAATAAACTAGCTTACATTATGCTATATTGTCCACAACAGTGGGAAGGAAACCTTTTGAGCTGGTACAACAGGGCTGTCTAATCTGACCTGTGGGTTTGAGTGCAGGTTAACTTAACCCTTTAAGCCCTAAGAGTGATCACGATCAAATTTCTTCTTGTGATACCAATGCTTTGTGAAACAGAGTGGTCACGAGAACTACAGACATGATCACACAAGATGAATTTGTTTGATACTTTATCAACTTCTCCCCCACTTCTGTAGGAAATGACTAGGGGCAACAAATGAGAATTCAAATTTTGATCTTAGGGTTTAAAGGGTTAAGTTCCAATGTGATCCCAAAGTTGATATTTGTTTAACTGTCAGTTTGCATTATCATGTTTCCGCCACAGGTAACTCCACATCAGCTCCACCTTCATTTACAACTTCTTATCCACCTTATCGTAAGTAAACAGCAAGACACAATACATTACAATCCACTATACAGTTAGAGAGTATCCATAAAGCTTTACTACGTTTTGTAATATTGTTTTGTATAACATAGGGTCAAGTATTAATTTAATGGTTAATTAATATCATTGTTTTCAGAAGTTGCATTTTAATAAATGAGTAAGGACAAAAACTTATGAATGAATGAATAAAAATAAAAAGATATTTAGTTTATAATCAAATTGATAGGTAGATAAACACCTAGACAGGCAAATAAATAAGCTGTTTTTCTTTAGCTGCGACTGGTCAATTTGGTGAAGGAACGTCTTGTTCTGGAATTTGCAAGTTTTACCGTTCCATGTTCACCAACGCAGCAAGACAACACAGATTCTTTAGCATTACCCAAGGCGCTTCTTACATTCATACTTTTTTTTTTAGTTTTTATACTTTTAGTTTTTATTTGAATGTTTAATTGTCAGTTCAACAGCAACATTGAGCTAAAGGCACACCAGTAAGAATGAAAAAAAATAATAATAAAATAAATAACAAAAGGTAAAATGCCCCTGCCTCACTAGTGAGCTTAACCCGAGTTGAAAGACTTCCTCTGACTGTAGATATGAGATTCCGTTAACTTAAACAACTTCAGACATTTTGAATTCGTGTAATACCGCTGCTTTAAACAATAAAAGAGCGCTATTGCTGTGTATGAACATATTTGCCTGTATTTATCAAATTAAGCCACTGTTTACCCAACGGGCATACCAGTGCTGACAGTGAGACCAACTTTTGGAACACCAGGACCAAGCACCCAGAGGTAAGCCGTAGCACTGTTTCGTTACAATTCAAACGATATGTCATGAATACACTTACCATCGAGTCAAAAACAACTTGCATTGCAATTGGTTGAGGGTACTGTTTGCAAAACCTTAACTGTAAATTAAATTTGATAACCGATTATACTTCAATTCCCTCCAGTGCGATATTCGTCATTCTCACCCACAACAGCGACAATATGAAACTTTACTCCTCCTACCCCGAGTTAATCACTTTTCGCTTAAAGGTTTGGGGAGTAACGTGACCAGCCCAAACAGGGCTTTTTATTGTGTCTTGTGGGAGAAAGATAGAAGATTCGGAGAATGAAGCTAGACTAAGTAAGGGTGGTGGGAGGGGAAGGTGGTGTTTCTACACAAGTCATCCATTTTCCTTTACTTTTAAAACTTTATTCACACTGGATTCCTTAAAGAGAAACCCCAATATTAAATTAATTTAGACAGACTGAAAGTACCCAAAAGAAGTTTATTTACATAGAAAAATGCTTTTCTCTCCTACTGTATTTTTTGCCGCTAAAAGAGGCCTTTAACTGACAGAGACAATTTCGATCTTTCCGCGCCCACCATTTTGGTCGGCGCGGAATACATCACTTAATATATTACTTAAATCGTAGTTTGGTTTAAGTAAACTAAGGTATTCAATTACAGAACTGCCTTCGATTTTAGTTTCCGTTTTTTTTTTGTTTATAGTACACAACTCTTGCTGTCATTACTTTCCATAACCTGTCTAATATTTTATTTCAGCCGCCTCAGATACTACATTAATGTTTTCCGAGCCTTACTCGACCAGGTAAATGAATAATACAAACAACAAGTGTCACGTAATAGCCTTAACTGAAAATTATTTATTGTACTGATTTGGGGCAGCAGGGATGGTGCAATGGTTTATTGGCGACAGCACTCGACCCCTCCCCCCGCAAACGTCGCTCGGATCAGTTCCCTGATTAGAATCCATATGGCGGTTGATTTACATTGTAGTTAATACTGGTTTCATTTCCCCCCATTACCAGCTCCTGTTTGCTAGTGATAAACAGGCTCACCAGGCAAAGTCCGATAGTTTGGTCTAAGATAAATTATATTGATCATGAACTAAAGATCGTATACTTGGTAATACTTCGCCCGAAGCTCTAACATCCTAAAGGTGGACATGCTCACTGCGTACATCGCTAATAAAAAAAAAAATGTACACTGTCACAGTTGAACGTGTACAGAAAACGAAGACACCCCGTTCTTGTTCCAATAGCTAATACCATCCTAGTCGGTTTGATTAGTAGCATGATAAAGAAAACAGGGTCGATCAATTGAGATACTCATATGGTACGGAGATAATTATAAATTTGTATTTTGGTCCTAGCTTGAAGTTACATATTAACAATTCTGAGCTTGAAAAATGCGTCTCCCCCCAAAAAACGTTCTGGCGAGCAAAAACTGCCCTTTTCCTATCTGAAATGTATCAGAGGCTACGTACGAGTAAAGGGGGTCTAATTAAACCAGGATGATAACTACCTGAGTGTGGTGTCAGTGGATTTTCTCAGCCTTTTCTTCCAATTCTGGAAGAATTTCTACAACACCTTAGTCGAAAGCTTCTTTTTTGAATTCTTGTAATTTAAGCCCAAGGATTGACGAGCAGATATTTACTTTCTGTTTTCGTTATTTTTTTTAAGTGTGTATATTTCGTGGGTGATATTCATTAGACTTTACCGAGAACTTATGTGTAAATGTATAACAAACGAACAGTTAGAAACAAAGGAAGTAAAAAAAAGACTAATTTTCCAAAGTCATTTTTTTCAACTTGTGTTCTTTGTTTGTAGATGGAATATATTGTGGATAATGATCTCTCCGGTAATATCAGTGTACGGGAACACAAAGGTAATGTAGCGAAAGTTGAACACAATGTTCATATATTTCAAAAAAATAATAAAATAAACACAGTCAATAATGATTTAGAGAAACATAAACATGTAAAAAATAACGAAATAATGTTCCCACGTTTCGGCGAAATGACGCCATTATCAAGGCATGGAAAAAAACATCAAAAATGCAAGTTCAAAAGGAATGTACTGCTAACAGGAGCGTCTCGATAGATACTAATCAAATTCTTCTTTCTAGCCATTGGCTGGAGCTATCTCCATGATCTTTCGCACAAGTTTGTAAAAAGATTGAAACTACTATGACGTGAAATTGCATGTCAAAAGACCTTCGTTTTCTACAGATAACAGCCGAACATCAAAATTAAAAAAAAAAACTTCATCACAAAATATCTCGATGACGCTCTCACAGATTCCGCTTAAACTGCACAAATATCGAGGCGGGTTTTGGAGGAAAAAGCTCCCGTGAACGATTTTGGAAGAGCAGCTCCCAGTGCCGAGAAAAACTGCTGCAAGTATAATAGGTGATGGCGTCATTTCGTTGCTAAGACAACTCTGATGTCATTGCAACCCTAATAATAACAAATTGTCTCATACAATTGTGGTTGCATTTTTTTTACAAATCTTTGTTTATGGCGCCGTAGTTTATGCTCAAACTTGGGACACTGAAAAACTGTATCGAGCCACCTTAAATTAAGTACTCTAAATTTGCATGATTGAAAGAGCTATTAGACAGAGATTTAACGAATTAAATCCGTTTGCACCTTCAAAAACAGTCTTAGTTTTTTGATGTCAGGCATTTCGTTACTGAGGTAATCAAATTTGTTCTTGCATTTTTTCCCTACACCACTACACAAACTACAATAACTACACCAACTACACCAACTACAACAGCTACACTAACTACATTAGCTACAGTAACTACAGCAACTACAACAACAACATTAACTACATTAGCTACAGTAACTACACCAACTACAACAGCTACACTAACTACATTAGCTACAGTAACTACACCAACTAGACCAACTAGACCAACTACAACAACTACAGCAACTACAGCAACTACAGCAACTACACGGACTACACCAACAACAGTAACTACACCAACTACACCAACTACATCAACTACACCAACTACAGTAACTTCACCAACTACACCAACTACATCAACTACTGTAACAGTAACTACAGTAACTACACCAACCAAACAAAGTACACCAACTACGCTAACTACAGTTACTACATTAACTACAGCAACTACACCAACTTTACCAACTACAGCGACTCAGTGCAGCAACTGTAGTGGGCTAAGTGGGCATGGAATATCTCTATATTCATGACGGTTATCATGAATCCATTACCGACAAATTGTACCTTTACAAGCAGTTACAAGGAAAACATAACAGTGCCGTAGCATGGGGAGGGGCCGGAGGGGGACTGAGCCCTTCCAATAATTTTGACAGGCACGTTCAGCGGCCATGTTCTTCACGCTGCTCTTCGGTTCAATGATTTCATTTCGGTTCGATAAAGCGTGAAAATTATCTATTTATGACTTCAATGATTTTAGTCATTTAAAAATTGCTGAAAATGAATGCTCTCGGAAGGCTGAAAATGCTATTTCAGAGACCCTATATTTAAAAAACTTTAGGGGGAGCATGCCTCCGAACCCCCCTAGCAGCTTGCGGCTTCGGCGCTCGTGATTGGCTCCCACAATAAATCTAACCTTGCTACGGCACTGCATAAACCCAGGAATTTGAGGGTGATTATAAATAAAATTTGGGCCAAATATCGGCTCTAGACACTGATTTTACCATACCTGTCCATCAGCCATACGCTTAAATGTGTGTTTACTTTAATTTTGCCTTGACAGATCTGGTCAGGAAAGCTATCTATAACGTCGATGCGGCAATGAAAAGTTTTGGACGGCAAAAGCGAGACGTTATGAAGACAAAGATCGTTGATCAGTTGAAAAAGAAGGCCAATGAATTGTTGGGCAAAATGGAAAACAAAAAAAGTAAGTAATAAGGAAAAATTATTTTCAAATTGCGCGCAAAAAACAACAGCAACAGAACAAAGCATAACGTGATAAAATAATGATGTAATAATGCTGATGATAAAATTAACACGGATAAAAATAATGATAATGAGAGTGATTTTAAGTTTCGCCTTTCTGATCACGGATAATAATATAATCATGGTAATAATAATGAATTTATTTTTTTCAGTTTCGCCATTTTTACCAATGTTTTGGGCGATTACATTATGCGTTTTCAAATTGTTTGTTTCGGACTTAGTCTCGAATTCGATTTGGTCGATCATAATTTTGATATGATTTCAAATGGAACTCGTGTTGGCGTTTGATTTAGCACAGATATGAAATCCGTAGCCATAGTTATTTAAGTGGAATGGTTATGAAACCCGTTAGATTTTTTGTTATATGTCTTTGTCAGCTTTTTTGGACCTCGGTGTGCACAACGTTCAATAGCATCCCTATCGTTTTGAACTTACTGACCAATTGATCGTTTTCACAGTGACGTCATCAAATTGTAAAGTCATAAAAGTGAGGATTCTTATGTACACTAGGTTGAAGATAAACAAAAAGTAAATGTTTCTACAAGTTTCCATTCCCGTAGCATGTTTCATTTCGAAAATATAGCAATATGAACTACCGAGTTTTCACAGTGCGTGACACCAAAATAGGAATGCTGTCTCGTTGAAAAAAAGTCAGGCCCCTCCTGATTTTCAGAAGTATAATCATTTCAACTATTAGAAGATATGTTTATGCGCACGTAAGTTAGTTCTCGAGTGAAAAGAATGAGGTTTTTATAGAAAAAGTCAACTCCAGATGTTTTTGTTGATTTCCGGCGGCCATATTGGTGCACCAAAACGGTACACCAGTATGGCGTCTCCATACAAAGCTCTACAAAGGTGCGTGAAACGTTTCGGCAAATAACTCAGAAACTGTGAGCCACAAAGACTGGGAAAAATTTTTTATATATTATTTTATATTATATTATTTATATTATTGTTATTTACATATCAGTCTTCTTTTATAACATTTCATTTTCTTGGCTTCTTCCATTGGACGGTTTCCAATTTATTTCTTTGTTGCGTGACAGTGAAAACGATCTATAGAAACATCACATTAATTTATTCAGTCACAATCTGTAAACGAAAAACAAAGAATTGTGCACGGTCAGGGAGCTTCTAACATAAGCTACAGCACCGTTGTTTTCAACCATATTGTTTGCCGGCTTTCCTAACCAGTCCCCTCAACTAACTACATTCAGACCTTCACTGCACTCCACTCAATTCAAAGTGCCATGAACTGATGAAGTTTGTCAACAGTCAATAACAAACACTGATAATAGCTCATTTTATTTCATCACTTTTAGGCCAAATTAAAAAGCGTTCTCTGAAAAAATTGCAAGAGAAACGAGGAGCCAAGAAACAGATGAAGAAACGCCAGCTAATCATGAAGAATACAATGGATATCGTCAGCAAGTCCTTCGGCAAAATGGCGAGAAACAAACAATAGATCCATTAGGTAATGACGACAGCTATTAGTTATCAGTCAGTAAAGTACCTTTGATTAAATTGGAATCTTAATTTTTTCCTTCCAAAGCAAACAGAGGACTGTTTGTTTTCTTTTTCCTCATTTTACTCCATTCTTTCTAAATTGGTTTTGTTCGCGTTCACGGAGTTTTGATTCTGCTTACAGATTTTCATTGAATCGACCCATTTAAGGTAATAAAAGATGGTTTTGGTTCCTGGATTTCACGCTGAGGATTACGTATTGTAGTTACTGGATTCTGGATTTCTTGTGAGTGAAACTTGGATTCCGGATGCCAATCATCAGCGGGATTTCCGATTCCTCGAACTGAATTCCAGATTCCACGAACAAAAGTTTCCTGGATATTCCGGAATCCAGATTGCCATACATGGCGCGAATTAAAAGTGAGATCTACAAAAAGCGAACTTAGAATTAGAAATTAAAGATTCTAGCGAATTAGAAAGAACTGTGAATGATATTAACCAGTCAAATCAAAGCCACGGCTATAACTTAAGATCCAAACCAGTTTCAGTAGCAGTACCAAAGTCAGGGACGCAAAGACATGCAAATTCATTTATAGCAAGGGCTGCAAGACTCCTTTAATGATCTGTTATTTTTACTTCCTTACTTACTTAATTTTCTTACTTTTTATCAGAATAATCACTTGATTTCATAGTATTGTGAATAGGCTCGATCCTGTGTGAATCCATTGTATATATTTTTAAAAGACGGATAAATAAAGGTTATTATAATTATAACTTATCATTCCGATATTATTGATTTTACCTTCTTTCTATCTCATTTATGATTTTTATTTTTTACTGCAGCAAAAGATGAAGAATACAACATGGACCGGAATGGAACAGGCATTGAGACCAATCAGTAATAGAAGCATTAGATTCTGTTAACCAAAATAGCGAAAGGAGAACACCAAAACAGTGAACGTTTTTGGTGACTAAACTGTTTTTAGATGTAAGCGGGGTAGCAGCACCCACTGTAATGTTACAGTCAAATAAACGAGGAAATCAAACATAAAACTGACTGTGAGCAGCAAAACTTCCTTCTCGGAATCTTCTATACTTAGTGTGCACTTTTTGGGGGGAAAATCAAAATCAGGATTTCCGAATCCAAAGCTGGATTTTTCGCCTTTTTGAGCAAATCCAAAAACCGATCATGAATCCATAAAATCCACTCTCTTGGCGGATTCTTCGAATCAAATCCAAATCCGGGTTTTTAAAAATCTCAATCTGAGTGGGTTTTTTTGGGGGGGGCGGGGGAGGGGGGCGAAAAGGATTTGAAAAAGGTTGCAAGCGGTTTTCCTATCAAAAATGGTACATAACATAAATAAATGCATAACAATAGGTGCCGTTACACACACCATGATAAAAGGTCTTTCCCGTGGTTAATTTGCCGCCGTAAATTTTTATTTGGGTAAATTTTACCAAGGTGACTTGCGGTTACACGTAAATTTATTTACCACGGTTGATTTCCGTTTTCACGCAATTATTTTCCTTTGAAACACTTGAAGGAATTCAGAGCCAACTGGATTTTCGGTTTCAACTGAAACGGTTGATATCCAGGATAAAAATTATTATTAAGAATAATAATCATAATCATGATCATATTGATCATAATCATAATCATAATCATGATCATATTGATCATAATCATAATCATAATCATAATCATAAAAGCATAACCCAGATTGTCCAGGTTGAATTTCTGACATTTCAAAATCAAGTGATGAACAAGCGAGTGAATGCCCTGCAAAAAAAGTAATAATAACACCAACGTTTGCTCAAATTATCTGGGTGTAAGCCGACGATTTCAAATGTTTCTCTGAAGACAATTTTGAAATAGTAACTTACCGAATAGTGCGAAATCCGGCCATCAAAACAGATCGCAAAGAGTTATTCTTCAGGGCTGAGTTGCTCAAAGCATGGTTAGCTTTAACCATTGGTTTAGCAGTATCAAAACCAATACGTTGTCAAGGTATTAAACGGTGGTTAACGCTAACCATGCTTCGAGAAACTGGGCCCTGGTGTTGTTGGAAAGAAAGGCGCTAATTAAGCCCTTGATGATGAACAAAATTATTTGTCAACTTGAGATTCGTGTTTGGCTATCTTACCGTGGGCAGCAAAAAACCCTTGCTAATTACCACATTAAATGTCATGGACGCTTTCTTTTTAATGTTCTTTTTTTTAAGTATCCATGGATAATTAACATGGGGAAAGTCAAGTCACACACACTAACACAATTTCCCGCGATAAACACACTATTATACCTAGGGAAACGGGACTTGACCCGTTTTGACCTGGCTTTCGTTATGGAAGAGCTTCCGAGACCCGTCCTAGTTTCTTTAGGACAATGTTCAATGAAACTCTCAGAAGAGCCCCGGTAATTCCAACTCCGATAATTCGAATTCCAAGCGAACTCGAACCGAATTTCGTTTCCTGCCGTCAAAAATTACTCCTACAACTCTAACTCCGGTTCTTGCAACTCGAGAGTGATGCCCTTTCAGGTAATAAAAACACGATCAAAAACATGTGCTGTTGCACATGACCTTGAAATGAAATGAAAGAAAATAGCGTCGCCTTCCGAGAACTAGGGCTTGAAGCTACGAGTACAAGGATATGAGGTAATACAGAAATTACCAGTAATTTTAATTTTTTGTTCTGAATCTGCATTTTCTCCGGAAAATGAATAAATTTGAGTGAATTGCCCGCTTAAATTAGCTATGTTCAAAAACAAAGTATACTAGACAAGACTGTTCTGGACTGACGCTTTACTATGCAAAAATAAAACCAGGAAAGGAAACTAAACTATATTTTTCCCTTTTTAACTTTATTCAATTCAACGCATAAATGACAAGGCTGTAAAAATGATGGTAAAACACGCCCGTCCGCTTCTAGAATTGGCGCCATTAATTTCCAACTTTCATAGAAAATGTTTCTTTCCGAAATATGTGTCAATCTCCAAGTCATCAGTATTAGTGCCTTTTATAAAGTGGTATTTAAAGAATCCCTCTTTCGAGCAAAAGAGAAAGAAAACTCCCCTTGCGGATTAAAAAAAAATTCCGTAAACCCATTTTTTTACCACGGTTGAGACCGACAGTCCTAGAATGGATGACGAACGGTAACGAGTCCAAAACCAGTTCTCACTGAGGTTAAAATAAGCGACAGAAACGCCCCCAAAAGGATGGAAAGGCATGGTTCAAGGTAGCGGAGACATTTTTCCACTGAGAGTATCCATTGGCAGGGCTAGAGAAGTCAAAAAACTCTCACCCGAAAAACACGTTTTGTGGAAATTTACCGATGACGACTGTACTCTTACCACAGCATAGAGGTTTTGTGTGGTATCATGGTAACCCTACCCTAGCACCAGGTTTACCCTCCCTCCTGGTAAACAGGCCCTAATTGATTAGTTGGCGAGAACTCATCTTTTGCGACATTATGAAAATCAACGAAACAGTTTGTTAGTGAGTATTTCTCGGTATAAATGTCTGACTGAATTTGCTAGCAAAACATGGCTATTGAAACTTTTGTCATATTCTTTTGCCGAGTCTTGTTGAGCATTTTGTTTGTTTGTTTGTTTTCCTTTCTTCTTATTATTTCTTTTAATGAATATTTACTGAATACGCTGTAGTAGATAGACTATCATGAGTTTCTAACTGGCTATTAACCAAATCCCCCCCCACCAAAAAAAATGCACTTTTTATAACTTTCCATAATTCTCTCTGTAAGTCAGTTTGAAACCAGCGCGCGTATTCGATTGAACTTGGCTCTTGTAGAGTTTTTTCGGCCGCCTTGAGCAAAGTTTCCCGGAAGGCATGAAGGAACATGTCTCACGATTGGCAAAGTTTCCATTCAACTTAGGTGTTAAACTGTAAGAATGCACTTGAAATTTCTTTTGCCACGTTTTTAGCAAATCCAGAAAGATATATATAGTAATAAATCTTTCATGAATTGCCCCGACAATTTATGTTTAGAGTTAAGATTATTATTATCTATTATTATATTTTTATTATCAGTTTGGCCTTATTTTTTTATTTATTTATTTTTTTCAAGTTGCCTTAGTTATCAAGAAAGACGGATTGAACTATGACGATACATCTTAGTGCAAATCGTGCCTGCCCTGACCCCGTCACTGATTCAGTATGCTTTGGGACTACGGACTATATGAACATTAACTTTAGTATATATAATATGCATGGACGTATTTTTGTTGTCGTGGTTGTTGTCTGTTTTTGTTGTTGATGTCGATTTGGACCCCAAAACGAAAATTGGCGCAACGTTTTACTTTTACATCCGCTATCTAAAAGTCCTTTTTGCATTTAAGGGAGCTTATACAAGAGGAAAATTCCTAAAATCTGGAACACATTGTCCAACCTTGTGGTCCTTGTGATATATGGTGAATGTTGATTATGCCGTGGGGTCCCTTATAAAAAATTTCATATGATCAATTCCCCTTTATTATCGAAATTCAATAGACAGAATTCGTATTCTCCGACAGTCCTGGGACGAGTGAGCCTTCATCATGAATGCGAGGCTCATGCGGGGACCTTCCCGCCAAGAGGACCGTGAAACAAATATGAAAAAACTGCGGCTGAGTTTGCCGAATTTAAGGAAAAATATTTAACATTGTAAAGTTCCTAAGGGCTTACATACTTGAGAGATCATTATTTCAAACAACAAAAGTAGGATCTGCTCATTATTACTAAGAAAAACAGCGATCCTAACCATAATTATATTGATGAGAAGAGTGCTTTGTGAGCGAGTTTCAATTTAATATAAACAGAGATGTTCTTAAAATCCGCAAAACCATTTTAATTGTTATTTTCAGTGTCCTTTAAACTTTTTGAAGAATATATTTCATTGACATGGACGTAATTATCGAAAACCTGCGATAAAGTTAACGGTGATGTTATCACACCTACTTTGCAGTTGAAATTTTCTAACTGAGCGGATGCAAAATCTTGAATGTGTATTTGAAGTAAAGCAAACGACTCATTCAGTGGATAATTACTTATGAGGACGGGACTTAGCGTTCTGCACACAGTCCATGTGAAGTTAAACCGGTTTAAACAAAGATGACTAGGTAAAGTTTATTTTTAAATTTAAGTTACATTATCTTCGATAACAACTGTGCGAGGGTACAAAAACGTGCACGTAGTTGAACACAGAGTTTGGTGCAGACGATAATACTGAGCAGTTTAAACTCCACACTACAGATACACACAAGAGAAAAAGAATAATAAGAAGAATAAAATTATATAAAAAGGATTCGAGTATTGACATTTTGACACAATACACCATTTTCTTGAGTACTTAGTTGTTTCTTCTTTTGGCTTCGGTGGCTTTTTAACATTTGCTGTTAGTACGACCAGCTCTTCCCACAGTTTTGTTTTTTGAAACAGATATCCCTTTAGCTTACCCGTAAGGTTTCAGCTCTTAAATCTTGCAGTTTTTTGCTGATTTCTATCGTTTTTCAGCGATTGAGCCGCGACTAACCAATGTTTGTTTGCGTTTTTAACAAAAAGTTCCCTGCTTTAGTCGCGCAATCATGCTGCGAAGTCTCTCGTCCCAGGGCCGTACGCGTCGGGGAATACGAATATCGTCTATTAACAAGTCATAATTACGGTGGTTGACAAATGTTATTGCAATTTCTTTTATATTTAAACAACTTTTTAACCAGCACCTGTAATAACTTTTTAGTTGTTGATAATCAGGCATGTATTTATTTGAATGGCAAGCAAGTGCACATAATTACCCGTGAGCTTCATTTATTCAGCTTTTTGTTAGTTTGCCGAAATAAGAAAGGGAAAGCCAATAAATAAATGTTAATAAAAATGCCGAATCTTTAGCTTTTTGCCTATTTTCTATTAACTTACGGTAATAGAAAATTTAACTGGAGTGGTTACCTCTCGCATTATAAGGAACAATCAAATACTTAGGCTCTTTGCATGACTGTGGTCAAACTTTCGAAAACAGTTCGCTTGTGCTAACAAGTTTTTTTTTTAAGTGAACTGTTTTCGTGTTTACCGAAAGTTGACAACGTGATCAACTCATGCAAAGAGGAGCCCATTATCTTTTAGTAAAATCCAACTAGTGGCCTGGTCTATTATCAACGCTACGTTCTGATTGGTTGAGCTACTACTAGGCTATATGTTATAGCCCACTAGTAGCGAAAAACGCGGGAATTTTGGCGACAAAAAAGGATTAAAGTCTAGTAGCTTTTACCTAGCTAAAACGCCCCCAAAGTCAGGAAAAAGCGCCCTGGGGACGAGGTGGCAACTAATTGGATTTTATTCGGCCTCATGGGCTATTGACTCAGAGCGCATTCGGGCTCGAGGAATAATTGTTAATTATTTCTTGCGAAAGTAATGTTCCGTTAATCTGGTTCAACGGTTAATCTTTTTTGAGAAGCAAATACAAACTTTGAAAATTAAGCATAAAATGAATGTTTCTTTATTATTTGCACTTTTCAATAAATACAAAGGCTAAATTGTCATTAAGTTCCCTATAAATTGTGTAATATCTTAGTGATCAGTGATTCAGCTTTATTTCTTACAAACTGTTCACCAGAGCAAAGCGTAGCGCTGCTAAATAACGCTGAAGATGATACAAGTTTTGGTGGGTAACAGATTATATAACTTATGCTTATTTGCCTCTGAAACGTAAATCTTTTAAAAGAAAGTTCATCATATTTTTGTAATAGGCCATTTGCACTAAGAGGTCATGGGACATTGTTTTTATGAAAATGAAACTTATATGATTTTGCCTTCAAAAAACGATTAGGGGGTCATATCTTAAACAAATTTAATAATAGTGATTTGGTTTTTCAAACCCGCACCATTTCCTTAAAATAAGTAAGTTCGTAGCTGGTCACGTGACCAAATGTGATTTTAAGATTATGAATTACCTCTTTCTGAACACAAATTTTGCACTTAAAGCCAATCAAGAGAAATGTTGAAAAGATGATGTGGTATCATTTACAGCACAACTGAGAGTAATTATCAAACGTTTAACAAGATATAAGCAAAAAGTAGTTTTGGCCGCCATGTTGGAGGGCATACTCTTGCCCTCCAACATGGCGGCCAATACAAATCATACTAATTTGTTGAAAAATCAAAGTGCCATATAATATCTCCCTTAAATGCGTTTCCTCTCAAATTTCGGGTGTAAGATAATTTTTATGTGCTCTGTCAATTCTTGGCATCAGCAAGATTTCAACTCATCGTTTAAAGGAAGCATTGGTCACGTGACCTCTTAGTGCAACTGGCCTATTGAAGCACACTGTCGAACCCCGCTTTATGGACGCCTGTTCAATACGGGTCTGATCACACTCGTTATGACAGAAAGTTTTCCTTGTCCCTTGGTAAAACCTTCACGCTTTTTCTCTAAATTCAACCCGCTTAAAGTGGAGATCTGTTAATACGGACAAACGAACTCTTGTTTCTCGTCCAATCAACAACTTGTCAGAGAAAGTCAACCTCACTTAAATACGGACACTTCATTGGCAACTGTGTGCTGCGATAAAATTTCCTTTTTGAAGTTAAAAAAAAAAAAAGCTTTAGGTGACAACATGTCGGAAGTTCCAAATGTTGCAGCACACCGGATAGGATCAATTTTACTGGTACGTCAATCTCAGTTTAGAGCGGTTTTCACTTGACTGTCGAAAGGGATCGGTTTTGGTTTTACTACGCCCTTTGGTTGGCTAGTGTATTTACTTTGGTTTTGGTTTTACGACAGTCAAGTGAAAACCGCTCTATTTTGGCACTAAACGCTAAGTTAATGAGCAAAGTATGCAGAGTTGGGTTATTGATTGATGAGTAACGTATAAATTGGCGACTTTGTGGCAGCCTGCGTAGCAGGCGCTTGGAAGTAGTGAGTACAAGAAAAAACGGGCGCGCGAGAAGAAGACACGCGTGTCTCCCTCGCGCGCGCCCGTTCTCTCTTTCGCCCACTACTTCCAAGCGCCTGCTCCGCAGGCTAACTTTGTGGTGTTTCCATGGACATATATAGTCCTCGGAATGACGGATTTTGTGGACGTTAGAGATGTTTAATCTTGGCGATGTTGATCGACGTCTTATTTTAAATGTGTAGTATTTTGTTCAAATAAAGGTATGTTTTTTAACTTAAATAACATGACCTGATTAATACGGACGAGGGCGTTTTTTAAACCCTATTCAGACCAGGCATTTTTTGGCTTACCGGAGTTGTCTTGGTTAATGCCACTGGATATAGGGTCTTAATCCATTCAAAGCCTGCATCAGTTCATCCGTTTTGTCAGCGGCTTTAAGATAATTATCAGGTAACCATCGAGCGTTATAACGGGACACACGGGGCAGAGGTTTTTTTATGGGGTACAAGTTTTACAGATATATTTTGCTAAGTAGAGAACTCCGAGAGCTTTCATGCCCTAACATCAATAATGCTCTGGTCGGAGTGAGTATATAAGTTGTATAACATGAAAGGTCAAGCAAATAAGGGTTCGCGGAATTGGTGCTTAACCTCAAATGCAAGATCTGTGTTTGTTGCTGTTTGTTGGGATTAACTTGAAACTCTCTGACTTCATCTTATTACGTTGCAGGTTCTGTACAGTTTCGTTGCCTGTCTTCCAACAACTTTGGGTATAAGCTGCTATTCATGCGCAGAATGTCCAGGTTCGAGCGAGACATGTAGCAGCCTCTCCATAATTTCATGCGACTCCTTTTAGGACTCTTGCATGACTACGATCGTTACAGGGGAGGTGCACGGCTACCAGTACTCGACAACTGTCAAGGACTGCTCGATATCTAGTACGTGTGACTCGAACCTTATTTGTAACCAAGTGAACAGCTCCATTTCTCAATCAAATGGAACCATGTTCTCATGCTCAGTAAACTGCTGCGATAGTGATCTCTGCAATGGAGGAGGTGAGCTAGTCTAGTGTGTTCATAATTTCAACATAATTGTCTTCAACTCAGCTATCGACCTTGCAAACTGCACGTAATATATGGGACCGTTCACAAACTAACTTCTAATACATATGGTGCTAAAAGGGGCAAGGCCTTTCTTGTCAATTCAGACTACTCACAGACACACGAAGGGACAAGCAAAAAAAAATAACATAAAAAACGGTCCTCCCTTAAATAATTTCCAGATAAACACGATTATAAATCGAAGCACTCCTATCAGTCTATGTCGAGAAAAACTATTTAGATTAGACGCTCTTATCAACTATACTGCGTTTTCCAACTGTACTGCATGCATGTCCTGCCTTTTACCAGGACCTACAGAATATCCCACGGGTGGACCACTTCCTACCAGATACCCCACGGGTGGACCACTTCCTACCGGATATCCCACTCGGGGACCACTACCTACAGGATACCCCACCAGTGGGCCAGAACCCTCTGGTTTTCCTACTGCTGGACCACCAGGGCCAGACCCTCAGAGGTAAGCGAACTAGTGTTTTAACGAAGCATGAGCTTTAGCTGGTGATGAGTGAAATAAAAAAAAAATACAAATGAAAACCAAATTTATTTTTATCTCTACGCATCAGTAGGTTAAAGCTGTTTTAGAGAAGACGAGTTAAATCGGCTTTGTTGGGTATATGTACTTTCATTGCCATGAGATGCGTTTATATTTCTTATATTGGTTTTTTACTGTCAAGTAGCCCGGTTATTTTCATGAATATACCTTTGAATTCCTGCTTAATATGGCTTGATCAGCTTTAAAGGGCATTTGCCGGCGGAAGTTCCATGGAAAATGCTTTAAATTAAAAAATTTTCACCTGACATCGGTAATCATCCTCATTAGTCCAGTGGTATAGGGAAGCGGCGTTTAGACGAAGGTTCGGGCTTCGAACCCTATTGCCTATCCTTTCTTTTTTTTTTCTTTTTTGTTTTCCTCCGGTTGTTTTGTTTTGTTGGCTTATTTGTCTTTTTTTATAAATATAGTTTATTTCCCGTATTGGCTTCTTTCCGTTTCTTTCCACTTCTGGCCCTTATCCTCTGCTTCGCAAGGCTCTGCGATTCACCTATTTCTAGTAAACTATTAAGGAGAATGTAATAGTTAACTTGGGACGTAACAGTCGCGTCCTATTTACGATGCGCCAAACAAGCAAACATTTGATACCGGCAATGTTAACCGTCTATGATCGAATTGAAATCCTCTTCCAAAATTTAAACTTCTCATAAAGGCTCAGGAAACACAGGTAAATAACAAATAACAACTGATTTTTCTATTAGCTAATACAGCGTTCGGGCTCCCTGTGTTAAGACCTACAGTACTGTGAAAAGGAAATGAGAGCGAATTCTTGGGAATTCTTGGTGGGGGTGTGCCGCCCGGTTCTTCAAATCCTGACCCGATTTCAGACCAAAAAATATAATTATCCATAATTATGTTACCATTACTTAGATTAGGGCGCAAACCTGGAATTCGCATATTTCTCTCGTTCTTACTCATTTGGAATTGAAACGATAAGAATGTTCATACACTCCCGTATTTCCTTCGAAAACCCAACCCGATTCCAGACCAAAATGGAAAAAGTGTATACCCGTTTTCAGACCAAAACGGCGCAAAAACCCTACCTGATGGGACGGCACATACCTATATGGCTTATACAAGGGAGTACCCCCCCCCCCAGGGGAAATTTGCCGAATTTTGTCCTTTGTTCTCTCTAAATATCGACTAAAGTTTGCCAAGAAATTGTTTTTATGGCCCCATCAAAGAAGACATGAATTATGTTTCTTAAGACCTACGTGTAAAGTTAATAGTTTCTTAAATTTTAGAACCACTTTAGCTCATAACATTTTTGATCATTACTTTTTCATGAAAGGAATTTAATTTGTCAAAACCTCCCTTGGTGTCTTTTATTTGTTTCAGCCGCCTGAAATATTACATCCACGCCTTGGAAGCATTGCTCCGTCAGGTAAAATTAATATGACGTTTAAAAGGACTGTAAGAGTTAAAGCGGTATCAGAAAAACAGCGAAAATAAATGATCAAACTATTGTAACAAAATAATCAACCTTAGAAAATCGACCATCTGGCCCCGGTTGTTCAAACGCTGGATAGCGCTATCCACCGGATAAAAGTCTATCCAGTGGATAACGCAATTGGTTTCCCTAGTACTTATCCACTGGATAGTGATTTATCCAGTGGATAGCGCTACCCAACGTTTGAACAACCGGGGCCTGGCCTCTAATTTCTTTTTTATTCATTCAAAATATTTCGCAGTTTCTGATTGGCTTTAATCCCCCAATTAATTCTTCATAAGCAACTGGTGCTTACCAACTTAGAAGATGCGAGCAATATACTATCGATTCGAAGGTATATTTGATAAGAAACGAGGTTGATCGATTGTATGTTTGATTGGAAAAGAGGCAGCATGTGTAATAGACTATCGATCAACGTCGTTTCCAGGCGTGGCTCCTTACCTGTTTATTCACGAGTGAACTGAAAAAGAAAATAGTAAAAAATAAAATAAAAAAGGGCGTTCACAACTATCTGAAGTCGAAATAGCTGAACTTCTGACTAAAAACTGAACGGTAGGAGGCAAAAATACAAGCTAAATGTTAAACTGCTGCGTTTGTAATTCGAATGTGCTAGCTATGCAATTTGTGGAAAAGTTGCCGAACGGCAAGCGCAAATTTATAAGCTTTACTCTACGCCTTTACTACAAGGCAAAAACCTGCACCTGCACTGCACCCAGCACTGCAAACTGAATAACTACCTGGGGAAGGAGGAGGATTGAGGAGGACATGTACAAGGATTCAGAAGACGAGGAAGGCTTGAAAAAAGACAGGAGGAACCTATTTATTTGTATATAAGCTTGTGTTAGGATATTAACACCAAATGCAAACTGAAAATGTATGTATTTCAATCAAACCGAATCCATCTACTCAGGACAAAAATTCACAAAACACAAAACGAGCATCGGGTACACTGAATATACCAAGAGAGGATGAAGGGGACAGAGAAGGCATCCTCCATACACACCCTATTCCATAGGTAATTCGTCTCGAGTTATTTTTAAACTGATTTCACGGATTGTCAAAGAGTCGAGCGATTCCGTTTTCCCAGGTGAGCGCCTACTCATTTCGCTTCAATATTCAGAAATGCTCCCGATCTCATTCATTGCATTCATTCATTGCCTTTCGCCCGACATGTTTTGCATGGCGTTTTGTCATGCGAAACCTCCACGAAATATCCACGCAGCGCGCGAGGTAACTTTATCCCGATTCTAAAAATAACTCAAGACGAATTACCTATGGAATAGGGTGTGTATGGGGGATGCCTTCTCTGTCCCCTTTATCCTCTCTTGAATATACGTATCTTGCTTGCTTAAACTTAGTTTGCAGGCTTTTTCTTCGCGAAATTGTTTCTGCTTGTGTAACCGAAACGTTAAATGCTAAAAAAAATTGGACCTTTGGGCGAGTCAAATGGGGATTTCTAATCTTCATACTGAAATCAAAGATGGCGGACAAGACATTATTCTAGGATAAACAGTACGCTTTTGTTCGTCCCCCAAATTCTCCTGCATTGCATGTAAGCTGCGTTTCTTTTGCATAGAGAGGCATCACTGCATTTTTGGTAGTTTGGGGTTATTTTTTTTCTGCCGCTGCCCCTTTGGAGAAGGTGGCGCGGTTCTAGAAAAATAAAGTGAATAATTATAAAAACCGTCCGCAGGGACTTGAAACGAAAATTGGTGGTTGTAGAGAAGGGGTGAAATTGACGTTTTTTCTGCTCTCTGATAGATGGAATACATTGTTGACAACGAGCTTGGTGCTCATCCCAGCATCTCCGCTAAAAAACGGACAGGTAAATACAATAATCGATAATAGAACTCATAGGAAGGGTTTTGCACAGGCTGAGAAAAGATAGATCTGGAGTCCTGACAAATCCACGGCTATCGTTCGGAAAAAATAAATAAGCAAATAAATATATAAATAAATAAATAAAAGCTCCCTCGCATTTGTGTCACGGAGTTTTCACAGACAATATGTTGACAATCAAACAAGTGTTACTATTGATTCCATGTAAATGTAGCTTGTCAATAATAATAATAATAATAATAATAATAATGATAATGATAATGATAATGATTATGATAATGATAATGATAATGATAATGATAATGATAATGATAATGATAATGATAATGATAATGATAATGATAATGATTCAAACGTGATTTACTGGTGATTGACAATTTTTAACAGGGCGAAACAAGAAGCGTTCCCTAGCCCAAATGAAGATGAAAACATTAAGGATCATCAAGGAAAATGTGGAAAAGATGTTCTCAAACAAAGAGTAAATTTTGAGGTGATTTTGACTCATTTACTGACTTAGATGAATTCATTTTCTAAAACTATTGTTGTACGTTTATTCAATTTTTTAGTCAAGCCAGGGAAAGATTAAGGAAGATCTATTTTCGTATGTCTTGCATTTTCATTGCATTAAAAGACTTTCAATCATCACGCTAGAGCACTTTCTTTTTCCCGTCTCATGTTTGCATCTGATTTAGCTAAGGCCTAGGCCGAACGTCGAACTTTTCATGAGACGCGCGACCCAAACACTAATTTGGGTCGACCTAAATGAAGTTAAGATCACCAGTTGGGTCAGACGTCGAACTAAGGACGTGTCCGAACCAATGAACTGAATCAGACCAGAAAGTAAATTTTATATTTTTTTTCTCCAAACGAGGCTTAATATACTTTATCGTACAAATTTAGATTTTTTTTTTTAGTTTAGTTCGTCGCATGTGTAGTCTCCGTCGCAGCCGTTTTTTGGATGTCACGCAACGGGAGCGTTACGTGACATCCAAAAAACGGCTGCGAGGGCGGACTATCGCATGAGAGGATCGACGTTTGTTCCGAGGACGATCTTCAGACGGCTAGAACGTGTTGGATGATCCAAGCTCATATTCAGACGAACAGGCTAACTGTGCCAGACGTCGTCGAACTTTTCATGAACTTTAACTCACTAAGTTTGGTTCTTCTCATGAAAAGTTCAACGTTTGGTTTAGCCTGACAGGGGAACAGTGTTACTTTCCATTTACAAGTCAAAACCACCCGGGCGGAAATTAAATCATTTGCAGTAACATAAAACTACAAAATTTTTTGTGGTGGGAGAATGACCCACTACAAAGTATATGCAAATCATCTAAACAGACTTAAAAGAGGAGAAAAATTGCATCACTTTAAATTAAAGTCCATATTTTCGGAATGGCGCCAGTTCTTTGCCTTTCCAACCTGAATTTCCGGTTTCCCCCCAACATAACATGACAGTTCATAGTCATGAAAATTAATGTAAAAAAAAAAAATAAAAATAAAAGACCATCCCAATTAGATAATATAATTTTGAAACTAAAGATTTCCTAAAGGTGTCCAATTTTCCTCCTGTATTTGATCAACCTTGTAGTCCATACTGAAAATACTGTTACACGTATTTCTTCACAGAGACCAGGCCAGGGACAGGAAAGGCGGGTGAAGAGGAAACAAATGACTGGGATGAAGGATGCGAATGTATCAAGCTCTATTAATTGTGCAATGTGATTTAGTTAAGATTTATATCACAAATATGAATAAAGGAATCTGGTTCAAATTATTATTTGTTGCACTACACTACTTTCTCTTCTTTACGCACGTTACTTTGATCTGTACTGAGTCCCTGTGATGGCTGCTGCCGAAAAAGGGAGGGTCAGGACCGAAGCCACTAGAAGGAAAGGAAAAGAGAAAATTAAAGGAGCGATTGAATATACACGTGACGAACATGTAACCGCGAAGGTCCACTGAAATAAAACAAAATAACAAAATCAATATACAATAAGAATAATGTAGATTTAGCCAGGGCTAAAAGCGTAGCACCAGTTAGTAACTGAATTTGAAATTTAAATCAAATAATAAACTTGTAAATTACCAACAAATCAGTTAACTGGAGAGATACATTGATTTTACCTTATCTTCCATTTTAAATTCATCAAATGTATCCTGTATTGCTTTAAAAAAAATATCGTATAAATCGAGGAAATCGTGATATAAAATTTGATATTTGAATAAAAGGATCCTTAACTAAAGACATGAACAGTTTTAATACATTTTATAAAATACCGCTTATAGAAATCAATCCTCTTTTAATGTAAAAGCAAAAATGCAAATTTCGAACTAAAACATGGCTGTCAAAATTCTTTTGCCCTATTTCGTCAATGTTGAGGTACACGTCACGACGCCTTACTGATATTCACAGATATATTACATAGAAAACTTTGCTAAGGTTGGTGTTCGTACCGGTTTTGGAATAGCTTTTTTTGTAAAGACTTTGGGGCCTCAAAAGCCCCTATGGTCTGAATCAGGGGTTGATATTGATTTTAGCTTAATCAATAATTAATCAAGTGCATCTCTTTCCTTTTCTTGTTTGAGAAAGATACTGGCTTTTTGGCACTTTTAAACTGAACCTCTTGTACTGCCCTCTTATACCTTTTTAAAATATTTTTTTGAAAAAAAAAAACCTCCTTACATGCTCTTTTGCTCAGAATGAAAGGACCTCTTTTTTAAGGTTGAAGAGTCTTCACAAAAAGTTCCGAACTGCCCGTAAATTTCCTCCTATTCTGCCATTCCTACGTAGCACGGATACGGAGATCCTGTACCAACTTTGTCCATGAACATAAGCAAAGTAAAAAAAAAATTTTTAACGGTGTTTAGTATTGTACCCTGAAGAAGGCAGCATTGCCGAAATGTCGGTCAAAACTCCTTTGAAATAACAGCGTCGATTTTACAATTTTCAAATTAACGTACAATACAAAACCTGCCGCCTTGCTTTATTAATAGGTTCGCAAAGCTTTCACAGCAGTCACTGTCAAGTCTGTTGACAACATTTCAGACAGCATTTCAATACTGAAACACACAACGGGCAATGTTTCCCCGTTTTATGTTACTTTCCTTATTGGGATTAATCGAGTCTGGGATGACTGTGCTATTACGAAAAAGCGTTAGACTGGGACGAGGTAGCGTTTGTCTCCCCAGCCCACTTTGCAGCCCACGCGGCCAGCGAGCAACTGTTACCAACATGGCGGCTGTCGTGAAGTCACCGAATGATCCAAGAGAGTACAGGTAAATTTAAAGTCAATGAGACAAACATCCATCCGATGATAAACCTAAATGTCGCAATTCAACCTTTAAGGTCCAAAGTTAAGCCCTTTGATAAGCAGAAGCCCGTACCCAGAAGTCGTTGATGAAGGGACACAATGCGAAAATCGATTGGGCTGTTGCATTTAATATCCGTACCCCCCAGGTTGAGGACTTACCGTGTAGCATGAAAATTTTGCGGGAGTTTTATTTTGCGGATCGGCGATTTTTTGTGGTTTGCGGGAACAAATTTTTGCGGTTCGAGATGACTGAAATTTCTGGTGGGAGGTAATTTTTGCGATTCTCTGTTCAAGTAGCAGAATATTTAAGTGGAAGAAACCTTAATATGGTATTTTCAACTTTTATTTTACGGTATGTTGAGTTAAAGTTCACTCTACTGACATATTTAATGGAGGATAATACGGTAATTACTGTAATATCTTACTGCACAAAGGGACTGAACAACAGCAAAACAAAACAAAAGCCTATCCCTACCATACACAACAAGGCCATTAAAAGCAGAGTTTTTAATTTGACTGAAGGGAGTTAATTTTTGTGGCGTTTTATTTTACGGTTTTTTTTTCTGCGGGAACTAATTCAGATTGATGAACCCATTTGAGGATAGTAACTCAATAATTTTATTGTAGTTTCCTGAGGGATCAGCCTTTTAATATAGCATTCTTATTTTGACTTCTTCTTTTACAAATTTATGAAGGTAAATTTTAGCCTGAATTTCATCCGATTACTTCGAGTCGTTATTACTCCCTCAGTAATGTCTGAATCGACCGGCAGTTAATGCCGTCCAGTGACGTCACTACTCCTTGACCTTTGCTTTAATTCATGCAAAAAGTAAAACACGATTTTCAAGTAGCAAACTGAAAAATATCGTTTAGAAATGTCTGCATGATACAGAACTGCTTTATTTTTTTCGATCGTAATTCATGTTTAACGTTCAAACTATCAACTGCATGCAGTACAACTCTGAACCGGTTGTACTAAATTCTATAATCAAACTCGGTCGCAATCACGCAATGAAGTAAATACACACATGGAACACTTAGTTCAAAAACACAATGATTTGCTTTAATTTTTATTTGGTCCTTAACAAAGAAAAAAAACAAGGAGACAAAGACAGAAAAGCTAAGAGAATCATTACACTTGATGGTAAAAATAGCAAGAAGGTCGAATTATAACATTGATCTCAGAAAACTTCGCGTAAACAAAATCACCGGCCGCCGAAATCACAAAGCGGCTCTAAATGAAAAACCTACCGACTCTCCGTGATGATTCTTCATTC